CAAATGGGTGTCTTGATTTTATTTTATTTCGCCTGACGAAACATGTGAAAAATCAATCTGTGAAGACGCTAAAAAAAGTTCAGCGGATGCTATAGAAAACGTAAAAATAAAAAAAAACCAACAAAAAGTGTGTTAAAATGCGATGGGGAAAAAAGCATCACGTGAGGTGTTTGAAATATTGAAAAATTGTTTATTCTCTTTTCGCCGCAGGAAATTGGGTTTAGATCCTAATACGTTGGATTCATATACATTTTCAAAATGATAGTAGAAGTATATAAATTGTCGTTTTAAAAACTGGGTTTTTTCTAAAAATATCTTGTTGACTCATAATTTTTTGTTGTTTTTAGAAGACAACAAATTTGGCGTACGGTTCTTCAAATTTAGATTTGTGATAGCTTTCCCTATATATTTCAATCTGTAAACTACGGAACGAAAGAATTATTATTTATTTTCAGCTCTTTTTATATTAGATTTGTTTTTACAACTTTTCCGCTCTTGTTTACCTGTTTAAAATAACAAATGGTCCACCTATTGAGCTTTTCCGCTTTCACATTGTATATAAGTTTTGCATAAATTTTTCTTTAAATGTTTAGGCCAGAAGTTTATGTTCTTTCCCTTTTATAACGTGGCGTACTCTCTATTCGCCCAAAATAAATGAAAATTCCACTTAAATTTTATTTTGTGGTATTTGTGCCATCTTGCCAACGTAGCTGGAAAATGGTCATAAATTAAAGTTACGTATACGTAGGAATATCAGAAAATTCTTTCTTTGCCTGGGATTTTCCAAGCTCTTTTTCGCCATTGCTTACGAAATTTCCTACAAAAGCTATATATAAAGGTATTTACACAAGATTTGGATGTTTTCTTTACCCCCTTTTCCGCTACGAGAGCAAGAGAACAACAGAAAACAGCTGTTTGCTCTATGGCGCCCGATAGTAAAATGCACAAACAAACAAAAAAAAATAAGAAAAAAGAAAACAAAAATAAATCAGAAAATAGCATAGAGAAGAGCAGAGACACCGTAAAAAAGCTTCAGTTCAAAGCTTGCACGCGCCAGGTTTTTCGATCGCTCTCGTATTATTTATTCATTGAGCTTTCATTGAGAAGGCCCACCCCACGGAATGAAACCGGCCTGTCCGCCGGAAAATATCTGAGAACCCCGAACGCATCCGAACGCTTCGCACGTAAACCCGTTCGAGAATTCCTCCGTACTCCGATTTTCTTCGATTCGATCCCCAATATCGCGCGGGACGCCTAATGATTTCTTTCAACCCTCATTAAAATATTGAAATTAATTTCGATACACCCGCAGAGCCAACGAAAAATGTGAACTGAAAATTTAAATGTTAAATGTGCTGCAAATTAAATTCAAGTGCTGCCGGCGTCGCTGCTCGGGCGACAGCAAATTGCAGATCGCAATAAATTAAAACAATAAAAGGCAACAGTGAACAGAGTGTATAAAAAAATACAGAAATTAAGCAAGACAAAAAAAGAGAGAGACTGAAATCTACATAAATGATGTCGTTCTCGGTGCCAAAAAAGCGAGTGAACAAACAAAAATTAAAATAAAACAACAAAATAACAATAAAATTAAGGCGAGAAACCCTGTAAAATCGAATAAAACAGAAATTGAACGAAAGGAGAGAGTCGAGAACATAGAGTGAAAAATGGTTGGCAAAGTCTTGGGCATTAAAGACTTGGAGCAGTTTAGCAGCCGGCGCAGCAGTGTCTACGTCGATCCCGAGTGCGACAAGTTCTTCGAGCTGCCGCTCTTCATCGCGGCCAGCTCAAACGACATCACCACCAAATGCCAGTGCTTCCAGTTCAGTCCAGGTAATAAAAGCCGCGACCACAGCCGCAGCCCATCAGTCGACAAAGTCCAAACACGAACCCAAAACCAGCCATAAAAAACCTAAAACTTATGATTATAGTTCATACGATACCAAATTATTTTGGAAGACTGCTAAAGTAAGAGTAAATTAGGTAAATAAAAGGGTTAATGATAAAGGAACTAACCCAGCCCAATGTCTCATTAAAAATAACTGTGTTAAAATTATTTATTCATATAAGTACATTGTAAAATATAAAACAAGTTTAATTAATTAAATTTAATAACCAATATAATATTTAACAATATTTGAATTTGATCTAATTTTGTAATATTGTCTGTGAAATCGTAAAAGATTTCAAAATCTATATCTTCTGGTATTCCTTAAAGGCCTTACAGTTAACCTTGTTTGGAAATTTTCGAATAAATTTTGAAATTGCTTTCAAAAATTATAATCTTGACCTCATTTTTTATTTATAAAAATTGTGTTTATTCAAATTGTTATTTTTTCCAGTTACAGCATTATAAAACATGCTTTTAAGCTTTTAAAAATTACCTTGAAAAGTAGGAAGAGTTCTGTTTTGTTTACCAAAAAATCACTGCACACCCTCAACAAAAATTTCTTAACATGTTTAGCATCAATAAAACTTAATTCAGTCATAAAGGGTAAGAGAAAACAACAAAAATAAAATCAATCAGCTGCGGGAATAAAAATATTTTATTTTCCAAAATTCCCATGTGAAATGGAAAACAATGAATTATATTTTCGTGTGTGTATTCATTATCATATTAAAGGCGATAAAGTTTCGGCTTTAAAACAAATGTTATCCGATATGTGGTTTCTTAATATAATTGCTGACTTAATTGCATTACGTTTTGTGCTCTTAATCAGATTGCACAGTTTCAATGGCACTTAGGCGTATTTAAAATATGTGAATAAATCGAGAGTGCTTTGTCTTTGATAGTTATTTATTTATAAGTGTGTTCGTAATCTGACATAATATCCAATTATGATGCATTTTTTTGTGTGGTTCGTTTTTGCTTTCGCAAACAAATGAAATTGATTGCGTTGATAGGAAAATTACTGCATCTGTTGTAAGTGGAATTTGCAGTATATATGGTGACGATATACATCGCAGTATTTCCATATTGGTTGTTCGAAAAATGCAAATGGATCCGAGAGATGCTGTAGATGGGGATTAATTACCCCCACAAGCGGCGCAGCGAATGAGCGAAGCTTCACTCAATTATACCAGTTTTTATTGTTATTGCGTTTGCTGCAATGAATATACACACACCCCATATCTTATCGCTCTTGAGTAATTTGATAGTTCTCCCCGAACTTTTATTGGCCTAATGCAAAAAGATTTTTATTTTAGCGACATTCTAAACACTTTTTAAATCGCCATTAAAAGCGAGTGAGCAAATAAATCAGTTAGTCTGTGCAACTTAGTATCTGATTTGCTGGCCGATATTGATATGGCTCTGCCCGGCGCTATTTCGCTGGATTTCCACCTTATCAGTTATCGGCGATAAGAGGGGCATGCAAAAATCGATCAGCTGTCGCTGCCTGTAATGAGACATGTCCGCAGTGCAATCAATTACCCCCACGCCGATAGCTAATCAATATGGCAGCTCCGATGAGGTTCAATGTGGCATTGAGGTGGCGACCAGATAGGGACGGGGATGGGCGGGGGAATGGGGGATGGCTTGGGGTTGTCCTACATACGCAGTTGACCAGCTGACCGGACTGATAGTCGATCTACGGTTGTCACCTAATTGACACATCTGGTAGAAAAACTACCCCCCGCACTTTTTATTTGGGTTCGACTTAGTATACGAAATTCGCTGTTAAAGTTCTATATTCGATCAGATCAACAATTTTAATAAATATATTTTTATTGTTACATTAATTTTAAGAGATATAGGTATTAACTGCCTTGTTCAAGAATAATAATTTTTGGGAAATCCCCTGTATTGGTAAAAAATTTTATTTGTAAAAAAAAAGTTTTTTCTTATACATTTACAAGAGCCCTAATTAACAAAAAATGCAATTTAACATTCAATTGATTTTCCTTATAAATACCATATTTATTAATTGCAAAAATGTAATATCAGCACTTAGTTGACAGACAGATAGTTACACTTCTAAGCCCTCGTTCGCTGAACAAATAATTCCACCGACTTTTATTCCAAATCAGCAAATAAATTATAGATAAAATTAGTTGTGTCAAAGTAAAATAATTTTCCTGGGAATTTACTGAAGCTTATATTAGATAAAGCGCTTAACTCTTTTGTGATACTTTTGATATGACTATTTCGTTCCTCAAAAATTACAAAACGAAAAAACTTCAATTGACTGACCGTTTCAAAAGAATTCATAAAGTCGAACCACGTCAACGGTTTTATTTGTGGGAAATTTTCTTTTGGAGAGTTTTCTTGAAATCTAGCCAAAACCAATTATGAGCAAAGGCTAACAAAATTTATTGCGGCTTGTTCGTCAGAAGTAAATATAATTTTGTTTTATCAATGTTTCACTTATCAGATGCACTTTCTGAAGTATTTTATTTTGACCACTTGTGGCATGAGTAATGTCGCTGCCTTACACACAAAATTTAACTACTTATCGGTGGTTCACAAGTATTTTTATATCTTGAGCTGTGTTGGTCTAAAGCGCCTCGCGACTTTGATGATAATGGAGAAGGTTCCTTTGCACTCCCATTTGAATGGCTCTGGAGCGTTGATAACCTCAAGAACCTCCATTATTAGCTATAACAAATACAATCGTGTCATATGATTGCCAGCGTCAAGTGCCAGAAATACTAAAAACGGCAGCCTCGAGCACTTGAGGTTTTTCAATTTGTTTTTAGCTTGGGCATCGATTTCAGTTAATGACCTAACCTAAGAGGGATTAACTTGAAGACTAATCGTATATTTCCTGAGTTTTAAGCCCTGCAATATGTGTGTACTTGGGCCTTAAGTTTGATTACAGTTAATATTCTTCTAACTATTAATTTATTTAAGGATAAGTACAAAGACCCAATCTATATATTCTACTGTTGATACGATTTCTATAAACCAATACCCACTATTATAAGGCATAATATACTCCCACGGGGAACCTTTAATCTATCGCCATGTCTAATCGGTGTACCACTATCTTTGTTTACAGGCAAAGAGCCGGCACTGCGCTCCTACACCGAGATTCAACAGCTGCTGCAGCAGGGCAAGAAACGTGACGTGAAGAACATACTCAGGGAGAACTCGTGGCCCATTAACTCCCCGATCCGATCGCAGCTATGGCCGATGTTGTGTGGCCAGCACCAGACCAAGCAGCAGATGCTGGACGGCTTTTACTGGGAAATGGTCCACCAGGTGGGTGCCATATGCTTTAGCCCGAATGAACTGTATTTAATGATTATTTCCTTAAAATTCCAGGTCTTTGGCACCACAGAGCTGTCGGAGAAGCCGATCATGCTGCCCGCCTTTGTGGACGCCACACACTGTTTGCCCTATCACTTGACCAGCACGGGACGAGCCGTGGCCGATCGCATCGTGAATGTCCTGGGCTACGACTGCCCCGATATTACCTACAGTCCAGTATTGTATCCAATTACATCGATACTTTTGCATTTCATGTCGGGTAAGTTATCGAAGTGCCAACATTCCACTACACACCAATCCACTTCACTCCATTGCTCACACGTGAATGTCAATATTTGATCGAGTCATTTTTATCGTCTCTACAAAGCACACAAAAATAAGTGGCACAATTGTAAGGCTCTACGCTCCAGGCCCCTCGTTTTACTCCCTATATATCTCTATATTATATACATGTACTATATGCGGGGATTCTCGGCGCGTATCACAGCTGGTTGCAAATTGATGTATCGTGATTTTCTGGCTAATTGATTTGGCCAACATGCAATGAGCCACCAAATAATTTCTAATGTAAATCTTGCTATTCCTTTGTATTGTCAGTACAGTGAAAACGAAATTGTAGGACTACTTACCATGAAATATTTTTATGAGATTTATCGGTTCTTTCAAAAACGAAACTGTTATTAAATGATAATACAAAAATGTTTTTTATGAGATTAGTATCTTTACCCTTTTTTCAAAACTATGGGTTCCTCAATCCTAACGACTTTGCTATATGTTCATAACTATACCCTTCAAAACACAAATTATACTAATTGGTTGTACTGTACCGCATTGTACTTGACCATAGTCAAATGATCAACGTCTAACTGTCTGCTTTAGTTCCGCATTTGTTGTTGTTTCTAGAACATTTTTCGTACTACTTTATTATCAGCTAATCATTAATGTATTGTTGTTATTGGCGACAGAATAACAAACTCGAATATTAAACTTACGGTATAGATTGTTTACTCGGAATTTGGTTTCATCCAATCAGGTGTAGACTGGGAATGAGTAAAAATCCGCTGAATTCCGCTCCATTAATGAATGGGGAAAATAACTGAATACGAGATGAGCGAAATTATTTCTGAAACTAGACGAAAATAATATTTTTACCTTCAGAGATCCATTTCGGAAGTTCATCATGGGAATCGCAAATTGCTGTTTTGGAGGTCTCACCTCAGTTTTAATTGACAGCTGGTCATGTGCCTGACCCATTGATAACCTCTTACTAATAGCGATAAGTATTTTCGTCAGTAATCTAATCAATTGCAGATGCTAGGCTCTAAACTAGATTCCATTTCTAGCAATAAAGAGACATTTTATAGATCTATTTATCAAAAGTTCATTTAATACTATCTCATGATCATTACAAATTATTTCAATTTGGTTTAAAATTTAAATATATTTATGTACATTTGTGCCCCTATTTGTGGGAGCTGCTGATAAGCTGATTTTTTGAGGAGGAGGTCAGACAGCCTGTCATTTCGAAGGTTTGCTTACACTGTGCGAAACACTTTTGTCCTCCTTTGTGTCTGTCAATTCGATTCCGGTCTACGTTTCAAGGTATTTTTTTCCCTCCAACTTGTTTTTATTCGCTTTGTCTTTAAATACAAGGTACTAAGAACAAAAATACAATTTTTTGTATTCAGCATATATAGAATATTAAAATTATATTTACTTTGCCAAATTTATCTTTAAAACATCAATTGCATATATATGTGCTCTCTGTATATGAAACTTTTTACTTGGTGAACGAGAACTAATTAATTTGTAAACCACATTTTGATGCTGTCATAAAGTACTTGACAAGCTGCAATGGAACGGCGAAAAAAAAAATTCAAAAAGTGTTAAACCGAAAGGCACTAAAATAAAATAAAATTAAAATGAGCGCTGCGTTCAATCAACGCATTTCATTGTTGAATATTCTGCACTTCGGCGGCTTTTTCGTGTATGCAATTTCAAGTTCAGGAGTCGCACATAAGCAAATGTTTAAAGTGATATAGATAGCCCATATGCATATGTCGGTCTGTTTGCATTTCGTAGTTGACGTCATTGCAATTCGATTCGGTTCGATTCTGCCTTCTTTTTGCAATTTGCAAATTTTGCCTTAAGCCATTTAAAGTAAACAGAACAAAGGACGGAGAAGAATAAAAAAAATGCGATCATTTCAAGGCCCGATTTGATTTCTTAGTTTACTGACACACATTTAAAGGTAGTTTTGTGTTCATACGTACGTATATACGACGGAAAGTTGAACTAAATTGAATATTGTGAGTTTTTAAGTGTAATTTGTATCAATAATTAATTTGTTTTGTCATTTTTAAAATTATTTTAGAACAATCCATTAAAAAAGTATTTTCTGACTGTTAATCTTCATTGGTTGTGTGTTAATTGACAACCATCAGACTGTGTTCATAAATAAGTTAATTCAATTTTTAAATTGTTTTCGCGAATCTTCTATTCTGTGCTGGGGTTTTACTTACTAATAATGCCAACACGTGAGCATAAAATTCACATAAAACGCAGACAGAAGACCAGGCAAATGCGCACATATGTGTACTTTTCCGTTTATGGTTTTGTTTGCCATTTCTATTCATCTCCGTTCGGCGTTCTCCATTCTTCATTCGCCATTCTGGTTCCCCATTGTTATGTTTGTGTTTTGTGCCCTACCCAAACATTGTCGCCGTGTTCATATTTGTTTTGCCGGATTTTTATATGGAGTGCTCATCATCACATAAAATACTTGGCAATGCCGGGCACGCACAATTCAGATTAAAATATATGGAATATTCTCCAGTACTTGGCTCTTATGGCCCGATATTCTGACGTCAGTCTTGAGTCAGGTAGAGAGTGAAAATCGGAATATAACCCCTGCGACAATTTGCATTTCTCTGCCCTTTTTCATTCATATTCATGAGCTAAGTAAATAGCGAAAGGGGGGAGGGTTTTCAAGGTTTCCTAGATGTAACAGGGGGCTTTGCCTTATGCCTGTTTTTATGTTCTGTAACTGCACAGAGCAAAAATAAAGATATTACCTCCCCTTTATTTACTTCTAAGGGTATTCAAAGCTTCTTATAGCTGGTAAAGTTGTCTTTGTCTGCTCCGCTCACCCAATTAGCAGTTTAAAAATGTTATTTCGCTTTTATTTAAATTTATTAAGTGTGCTGAATGTCTTCTTTCCGCTTTTGTTTTTGTCTTGGAATATTTGCATTGTTTATGTTTGAGTTTGCTGAGCTAATTAAAGCAAAGCAGCACAGATGGATTCCTGTTTTCGGTTCTTGTATCTCAGTTGTGGGTGTTTAGACTATCTTTAGGCTATTTTTGGTTGGCTTATGTCTCATTAATAACTCGGCACGTGCTCTCTGACGTCTACTGACTTATAAAGCTGTCTCATTAGCAAATCGACCTTTGCCGTTAATTTAAATATAGTAAGCTCTTGTGGGGAAATATCTGCCATTTCAAGTTTACTACTGCTTACTACTGTTTCTTTGGCGCCTTCTGTTTTTCCCAGAGCTTCTTTGATTAATTTCAATTGGAAATTGTTTACTTCTGCTTTTGCTCTGACTGATAATAATGATGAGGGGTCATTAAAATTTGAGCTGAATTGTGCTGAGCTGAATGTAAATGTTGGCAGATTATTGCAATTGCAATGACTGACGTACGTCATGCTCTATAAATAGGAAGGGCCCTTAAATATTTAATAAACTTATCAAATGTTTGCCCACTTACTAGCCGTCTTTCCGTATCAGATAAAGTTCAACCTACTACACACATGCACTCCAGACTCTGCTCCGATTCGCTGGCAATTGAGAGCAATCTGGGGGAACTAAGTCGAACCGCCTGGTGCCAGTGTAATCCACTGATAAGCCGGCAAAATCCGCTGATAAGGCCTTTGTTTACCGCGCGGCGTTTGAAACTAATTAAACTTTGTAATGCAGCAAGTCAATCCACCGCCCACTCCTTATCGCCCTGCAGAAGTTCAAGTCGGTTCAGTATCTAAATTGAATTTAAAGTCCGCTCACTCCCACAAACTGAACTCTAATTGCTAATTGATCGGCGGTGTGTTTACACAATTACATTTTTAAATGTCTGACAAATATTTCGAGGCGCGCTAATGACTTGCTCACGACTGTTTGAAAAACAACTCGAGCAAAACTCCGAGAGGGTATTTATAGCCAGCCCCACCACTTCGACATTGCATAATTTGATCTAATTTCGAAATCAAATAATCAGAACCCACACACACAGGGTGGTTGGAAAAATTGTGCCAGCTAATTATGGAAAATTGAAGAGGGGCGTGGATGAGGGCGGGGAAATGGCGATGACGATGGTCAAAGTGCACTCCGCTGACGGATGCTCAACGCATTCTCAATTTAATTTGCGCTGCGTCATTGCGGTAATTCAGTGCTGTCGACCATATACGGTATATACACATGAAACCATATTCTCCCGCTGCCCCACCTTTGGCTTTCGATTTTGTCCACCACAAATGCCATAAGTCGAGCTGCTGCAGTTCCACAATTAAATTAGAAGCGGATCTGGAATAGATGTGGTGAGGGGGTGGTAGGCTGCATAAATTGTGGCTAAGGTTAGGCCTGTTATTAAATAGATAATTGTTACGAAAACTGCCATACGATCTCACTTACAAGTGGCAACGGGGCGTATTGAATATCGAATATTACGTATACGTTCAAAGTTGAGGGGCAACTTTGAAGAACAATTAAGAAAAGGGCTACTTAATGTTTTCTCTGAGTAATTTGTTATATTAACAATATAGAATTTGATAAAATCATGATTTTATTTTGATTTTGACCTTGACAAGTACACAAGTGTGAGCAAAAATTCAATATCATTATTTTATTTAAATTTACTCAAAATATATTTTCCTTATCTTACAGAGGAGGAGGCGTACATTTGTTTGGCCGGTCTGGTGGGCAGCAAGGAGAAGGTATTCATCAATCAAACCAAACTACAGCACGAGGTCACCTGGAAAACGGTGATGCAGATAGCCAAAAAGCACACGGTATGTAATAAAGCACCCTTCATTAAAACCCATCAATCAAATGTTAATCATAATTTTGTCCTGCAGAAAAGTGCAACTTCGTATTTCCAACGTATTTGCCCGGGCCTGAAGCTGGAGCGCATCTTCATGGACTGGTGCTGGTGGATTCTAGCGGGGCTACCCTTCCAGCATCTGGTGCGGATCATGGACTGCTACTTCCACGAGGGCATCAAGGTGCTGTACCGCGTGGCCCTTGTCATACTCAACCTCTTTCACAAGGAGTGCCAGTCGAACAACGAATGGAGTCCGGATAATATTAAAAACGATATTGGCAATGCGCTGATCAAGTTCTGCAAGAAGATCCCAGTGTCGCCGGCGAAGTTGCTCCATGCCGCGTTTAGTATTAGGGGACTGAGGTAGATACAAAATATAATTAAAATCGTACAGGCCAGATTTTAATGGAAAATTTTTTCTCTTCCAGTACCCAGTATATTTCTAGAATATTTATCAAGACTGAAATGCTACTAAAAAGCCGTTCCGTGCTCACCAGCGGTTCGAAGCAATTAATCAAATCGCGTTCAAGTGATAATCTGCCCACTAGTCAGTCGCAGGTCAACATCCAAATGATGTCGCACACCTTGACCATCCGAGAGGTATGTGAACCTAACCCTAACCTAATCCAATCGACACGTCCCCTAACCCACCATCACACAGTATACAGTATACAGAATACAGAATACAAAGAGAAACCGAGTTAGGCATTCCCTTCAGTTTAGTAATGACCCAAATGAAACTATTTACACAGCACAGCACTACAAGCAAACACCTTGTCTAATGGTAAACTCTGATTTATTTTTATTCGTTTTCTGTTTATGTTCCTCTCACAACTTCTTCAACTCTGAAACAACGCACCCAAAAAATAAACAAAAACCAGAAGCTGCACTCCGAGAGCTGTCGCAATTTGGTATGAGGCTGGAAAAAGCTATACAAAATTATTATTAAAGACAATACTGATAATGCCGATGTTGGATTGATTCTGCTTGTTCTGTTGATTTTCTTTCCACACTGTCTTTAAATGAGTTGAATCTGAATCTATTTTCCATTTCAATTTATTGAGTTTCTTGAGTCGAGTTTTGAAAGCATGAAATAAGGGAAATTATTATTTTTAATTTAAGGCAATCATGTGTATATACAAAAGTGAATTTTCAGAATTATCTGGATCGAAATTCAATGATTTAAATCCAGTTTATTCCCAACCCCTCTCCCTAGAACTGATTCGACTCAATTTTTGTGTTCGTTCTGCTTCCACTTGACTTTTGTGTTGTGTTTGATCTTTGTTATTTTTTATTTCGCCGAATGAACTAACTTCTTGCCACTTTTGTTTCGTTACTTATCAATCAAAGCAAAAGCACAGCCTCAAAAATAACCACATCTATATTAACCACACAGTACAGCTTTTTATTCGTTTTCGTTGCTTTTTGTTGTAATAAAAAAAATATTGCAAAGCCAATACTCACATACAAAAATACATAAACAAACAAAAATCCACAAGTGAAATTGCTCCTTATATGAAATCTATATATAAAATGTTATTTCTATTTTTCTTGTACTTTTTTTGCTGCCTTGGCAACGAATGAATGAATATTAACGATACAACAATAATAATTGCAAAAAAAACAATATAAATTTGCGTACGCTTGATTAATGTATACATACATTTTCGAAATCGATGAAATACATTTCCACGGGTTCATTTGCCGCATTTGGGTGCATACTGTTAAATATTCCATCCATCATGATTATGTATAAACTATAGGGCGAAAAGTCGCCCGGTCATAGAGCCATCGCGATGGGCGTTTATCCCATTCACAATCTGAAAAGTCAAGCTTGTAAGAACGAAGATGTAAGTGAAAGTCAAAGTCCACTCCACTCCACTCCACTCCACTCCAATAAAAAGCCAATCAACAATCCCCACTGAGATACTACCCACACAACACAATGTTAATCGTACTTTTAATATATATACCATCAATATCTATGAAAGCTTTTGGCTCACGTTTTGATTCCACATACCATTCAAACCACAAAAACTGCATGAAGTGCCAGAATTTGTTATCAACCTGATAGAAATTAGCTGACTGATGAAATTTTTGATTTTTTATGTTTGATTTTACCATTTTTTTGCTGGTTATTATCCATAAATTGTTTTTTTTTCAGTTAGTTGAAATGTAGAGTTGGCTTAATTCTAATTTTGAAATATAATTATATTTTTCAAGAGAATCGATTGTTAGCAAAAACCTTAAAAGCGGTCCCTATAAACCAATCGATACTAGAACTTTTGATTTTTTGCCAGATATTTTAGGGTGAACAATGTAGGAGAACCAGCTAGCACAACTGTATCTGCGGAACGGTTTATCCATAAATCGTTTTCATGTGTCCCCCAGACCTCATCCGCCATATTGCATATAATTTTTTGCTATATATCCATCTATATCTTTTCATAGCATTTTGGTTTGCCGGGCACAAAGAATTTCATAAAAACCTGGACGGATAGACAATTTGTAAGCATTGCATTGCATATTGAAAACCCTCCAACCTGTTTTCCCCATACCATCGCCATTACCACCCATTCCTTAATTCCATAAAAAATGAATGCAATCCCTCGAAACTCCCATCCAAAATTGAAGAAAAAAGTTTTCCATTCCGTGCCGTCTTAGAATATGTTTGGGCAAGTCTTTGTCTATGTAAAAGTGTCATTGTCCTGCCGTCATTAAATGTTAGTAGTCTGCAGATCATCTGAGAATTGAAAGAGTCGCAAAAAACATAAATTAAATTCATAAATCAGCTTACAGTTGGAGAGTCGCCGAGCCACAGTTTTGTGATGCGCTGCTGCCGCGCCGCTGCCGCTGCCGCTGCTTACAGTTTAACATGAACTGCGCCGTAGTTTATTTTGTAGTTTTTAGCCCTCATCGAGAGTTGTTGCCTCGTATATGTTTCTTAACCCTGGCTTTTAGTTGTTTTTCGTTGACTTTTGACCTTTATAGTTCATGTTAATTCACTCTACTTTATCCACGCCAACGTATTTTGTTTCTGTCATTGGCTAATTGCTAACCCTTTCAATACGTTAATCGTAGTCGTAGCCAAGTTAAAGCGTAAATTGGTGAAACAAAGTTGCTAACAAAGATACAATTCGTCTTCCCATAGCTGTTCACGCTGTGGTCCTGGCTGCCCGTGCGGATAACAATGTACCAACCGGTGCTGCTCTACACCACCGAGGAGCACGGCTGCTCGCTGACCACGTTCTATGTCCGGGTGGAGCAGCACGAGCCCACGCTGCTCATGATCAAAACGTGCAATAATGAGGTAAGTTTAAAATTTGAAAAGTAATAATAATATTAAAGGTATTTCGACATCCATTGGGTCGAGGTCGTTTACAATTTCATTGTTCTGATGATTCAAAAATTAAATAAATCATATGGTTGCTTTGTTTTCTATGATTAAATAAATAGATTTAGCTAAAAAATTCGATCCTTGCTTTTAGGTATTCGGTGCATACTGCTCCTCGCGCTGGTTTGAAAGGAATGTTAAGGATGACAAGGGCCAGCGACAGGCCTACTTTGGCACCGGCGAAACCTTTTTGTTCTCCCTATATCCAGAGCGAGCCAAGTACCCCTGGGTGGGCATTGAGGGCGACAAGGATCTGGGACACAGTTCCGAGCTGTTTATGGCGGCCGACTCCAAGATGATCACCATTGGTGGCGGGTAAGTTGTGCTACTGGAAGTTCCATTCATTTATATACTAATTAAATGTTTCCTTCTTTATTTAACAGCGAGGGTCAGGCCATCTGGATGGACGAGAACATACGCTTTGGCAAGACGGACAGCTGCAAGACCTTTAACAATCCGCCGCTGTGTCCGTCGGGCGACTTTGAGATCCGGGTGCTGGAGGTCTACGGCTTCGTGGGCATCTAAAACTACTCCTCCTCAGTCTGACCGATATTGCCCGCCGATGATCAAGTGCTCAGCCAACCTGCTCGACCTTCCCCCGCGTTTCCTACACCCACTCAAACACCTACAGATTGCTTTCGTTTCCGCCATTATTGGCGGACGCTGATATACCAAGATGAGAAAATGTGTAAACATTTATAAAAACTTATTTATAAATATGTATCGAAAGTGGCCAAGCAGCAGCAAATGCCGCCGTTGTCGTGTTAATGTTAAATGTTAATGAAAAAATGCAAAAGCTAAAACAAATTATATATTATATAATGGAAATACTCTGTGAGTTCATGTTTCAAAACGCAAAGCTTTGGAATTACAATACCCTAGTTGTTATAACCCCTTTACATATATACATGATATCTATACAAGCATATACATAATGAATTATTATAAAGTGTATATCTAAATGTAAAACGTATTTCTATAGCCATGTACCGCAGCAAAGAAAAAATATTCCTTAAAAATCGAAAGCAGAAAACAACACCAGAAAACTTGGGCTGCATCTTTATTATTGTTTATTAGCGTTATTATTTCATTTAGTTCATATATTATGTATTTTTTCTTTCTGTAAACCAAATTTACTGACTTGACTGAATTCGTTATTAATGTTATTAATATTATTATTGCTATGTGTATAAAAAGTGTAACTTGTAAATTGCATTGAAAACAACTGAATGTTTCTGAAAGTTGTCCCCCATTTGGTCGCAAAATATATAGATAAAGAAAAACCAAACCTCTTTCGATTAGTGCTGCTGCTGCCGCCAATAATATGCTCAGATACTACAGATATATACTATAGTTATATAGCTCCAAATTGATTAATATTTAGCTAATGCCCTAAACCAGCGGAATTTGTAGTTGATTTAAAGTTTAAAATGAGGAAAAGCAAAGATTAGGCAGTGAAGAACTCTCACCCATGTGCAATTGATCTCAAAGCGAAAAACGAAAACGAAAAACAAAGAAATGTATTACAAGTTGAAGGCTACATAAGTAGGCATAAACAAAAACGGAGAACAATCAATTATTATTTTAAGATTCCATTCCATTTTCAATACCAACGAAATTCTTTGCTCACCTCCACCCAAAAACTGCACGTACACAAAATTTTTGCACATTTTTCTAGTCAATTTTTATGTTTAACAAAAAGAACATGGTGTATTTCCTTCCAATTCCCTCTCACTTTATACATTTTTGCCTTTGAGTGACTGCAGATTCCGATGGTTTATTGATCGTTGCACTACTCAAGCGAATTGTTACAATTTAATGGATAGACCACAACGAAAATTAAGGAGTAGGGACAGTAGTAGCCACAGATTACAGGAAATGACAGGCCACATTTCACAACCATAGCATTGCGGAGCTGGTACTCCACAAATCACCAACACAAATCCCGCACCCAAACACGATCAAACACATCCATCCAAAAGCCAGTCACCTGAAATCTGTGGAATGAAAAGAGCAGCAGAGGAACAGCAAAATAAATATGAATAGTTTTTAGGTTTTAAACAAACTCTCTGTGTTGTTGTTACTATGATTCAATGTATATGTATACGCAGCATTATATAACCGAACTCTACATTATATATCCAACTACAAATAGTTGAACAAGTTGATCCATACAAAGCTTAAAATATGAAAAAAGCAAATCTGTTTGTTATTTGTTTCTGAGTGTGAATCGAATTGAAACAATAAGTTTTACAATATTTGGTTGACTAATTCTTACACGCTGATGATATGAAATGTTGATAGAGCTTAAGTTGGGAAGTGCTTGGCGAGGATTGTTTTTGGCATTGGCGTGGCAGTTGACCTCGAAGGATTCTCGGAGACTCCTCGGGGCACTGCCAACATGGACAGTATTTGGTAAAGCAAAAACAAACAAAGTCTTTTGTACATAAATTGTTTTCTATCTGAATTGTTCTCAATGTGTAGTTTATATACGATATCTTGATAAATATCCATATATTTATATTTGAATGTTATTTATGTGTAGCCCAGAAAGTGACATGAATATAATCCGCAGCTAAAACCCATAAATATGATAAACCAACGTGTTATCTATATACCCACATACAATAATTTATACAAGAAACTGGAAATATATGTAAATCTAGATGTGTTTGACGATCAACAAGTATATTGATTAAAAATTGAAACGGCGATCATGTGCATCAATTTTGAAATGTTATTTTTATTTATTTTAATGCATATTTTTTAAATTTATAAATCCTAATTACAATACACACATACACATACTTACACACACACGCAGATGAAGTAGGAGCCGAGTAAATTTTATTCAATAAATTATATTAAAACAAACAAGAATAATTATATTATATGAAGATATATGTATGTTAAATCATTTTAGTGGATGTATAAAAAAATGGAAACAAAATCAAATAAAATGAAAAATAAAAAAAATATTTTTGCTTTATTCGTGGGTTTAGTGATAAACAATATTTGGAGGTAAAATTTCTCAACTTAAACAAATTTATACAAACCATAAAAAAGTTTGAGTTAGAGATAATTTCGAGGTTACCTGCTTTAAAACTTAATGAAAACAAGTTCGACTCATAGATATTTTGACTACACAAAGATTGAGTGTAATAAGTTCGACTGAGTGTGTTATATTCTTTTAAATGGGTATAAATAATTCTGTTAGTTGCCAATACGATTCTGGAGTATATAATGGGTAATAGGATGCATTGTAATTTCGACCTTCTATGTGCTTCTCATTGTCCCTAGTTGGTAAGTAGGAAAAGAAGACCAAGTACCAAAGAGGCACTGGCCATTGATAGTGTAATTCTTCCAGGGGCTGCATTGCAGAAATCCGTGTTGCAAAGTGTGCATCCCAGGAAATTCATGAATGGCACCACAGGATCCGGTCCATCATCGCAATTAATGTTCATGGGCGAGGAGTCACCATAGTAGCACGAACGTCGTACAAACCGCGTGTCTCCAGGCACTGTCAAAAAATCAGGAATTGGATGGGGTATATCTTGACCTAAATTGCCGAAAAGATATACTCACTGCCTTCGTGGTACTTTGTAAGGCAGGTGGCCGCCGCTCCTAAGGCTCTGGTGCTTGCCACCACATCGCAATCCGTCGTAGATATGTCATCGTCCACAAATTGCTCCCCACACCCTGGATTATTGACGGAATCGCATTCGTAGCAGGTAATGGCCCGAGCTGATGACGACATGCGTAAATATGTGTGTCAACGCGAGCACACAGAGAAGAAAACAATGGTTTGAAATTGTATTTCAAATCGGGGAAACTTTGTATATATTCTGTATACAAACATTCAATTATTATTTAATTATCTGCATGGACATTATCCATATATCTTTTATCCTTATCTTTTCGTTTTTTATATTTTTTATTATTCATAGCTAGTGAATGTTTATCTCAATCTTCAGTCTTGTTGTTTATCGAAACTGTTTTATTTTCAAGCCTGACTTCAGTCCTGTTTCTTTTTAGGTATGTGGAGTTTGTCGAGTTCTTTTAGTTCTTAAAATATTTGTTTTATTGCAATAAGAGTTCTATTCAGGGAAAATGTGTAATTATATGACTTATGCATATTTTATTTTGAATGGCAAGTAAACTCCAATTAAATTAAACATTAATAAATACTGCTGTTTATTGAAACCTTTTCATTTTATATCTTGATTGCTGCCTTAGACTCTTTAAATATTTGTTTTCAATATAAACACATCTGATATAATATGATTTAAGAAAGTTTTTTAGAAGAAAGATTACTTTTAAAGCCCCATTTTCGATTGTTAAATCGTAAAGGAATAAGAACATTTTTTTTCGGTGCGGAAATGGGATGAGTTGCGGGCGATAAGCTCACCTGAGCTGGCCAGCGTGACGAGCAGAAAGAGCGCGGCAAGCGCACGCAGTGCCATCATCGCCATTGTACCGCCCCCGAAAACAGTTGATCCCACTGTCCGGCGGACGCGGTGAGTCAATAGCTATTGCGATGCCGATACGTGCGCGAATACAGATGTTGTCTTCTCAGCTGCCGGACCGATTTTAATCACATGTTAGACCCACTATATAGCCACGAACCGCCGACCACCGACTCGAAGCGTTGCACAAAAGCGACTGAACTGAACTGAACGAGCGAACAATCGCATTAAGAATGTGAATTTGATTTTCATAACAGATTTTCACTTCTCTTCTTCGTTGGCATTTTCCCGGCGAACGCGTGTTGACATTGTGGGCTAACGAGGAGGTGGATTTCCAAAATATATAGTCAGGTTGCCCTTCCCTTCCTTTGCCAATCCATTTATCCCAGGCAAAAGTTCATTAGTGGCATTTGAACAAATAAACAATTTGGCATTCTGTGTAAAATTAGTTTTTATTAGTTTGTATTTGGATCGTTCAAAATTTGTTTGCCTTCTTTTCGGCTCATGTCTACTAATGTTGCTCATACGCCCTGTTTGCCGTTTATAGGCCATTAATACAATAGGACAGATTAAGACTAAATAGTGGGTGATAAGTGGGCATTGGTAAATGATGGATCTGGGCATTGGGAATAAATCTAAATTGAACTAGGTTTACTTAAGTTATTGTGCCTTTTATTGTGCGTTTTTTGCCCCACATTTCCACTGCTTCTTTCTGTCATTTCAGAGTAGATGAGGTGCCAAGAGAAACAAGACCAGACTGGCGAAGATTTTCCATTTATCCGCTGGACTTTCCGCACCATTGCAGTAGCTCTCGTTGTCGCACACATGACAACTGGAATTCTGCACCGCCGTCAATGTGGGATCCATTTTGCACCAGACATCGGTGGCATTTACATCGCCAAAGTAGCAGCCTCTAACGATCTTACGTTCGCCATTTTCTGAGGAAACAAAATATTTAGTTAGTGTACTTTCAGGCTGATTTCTCATAAAAAAACATATTTTATATCTTTATGTTCTAATGAGCTTATTCGTATTGTCCATGATATCTAGAGATTGCTGGTAAGTCTATGAAAACGTCTGAAATAAGGTCACAGCTGTTTGTATACGCAGAAATATGTGGAAATGTATTAATTGTTTGGCCAAATATTAGTTTTATTTGTTTTGATTTGCGTCACAAACAATTTGGGAATTCTTTTCTAAAAGATTAATAACATTCTGAACCAATTTGATTTTATAAATTTTGTTTATGCGGATGTTTTTAGCATTTAAACAAGTTAAACTTTTTTGTTTGTGGTTATTAACCCCAAATGCTTGTGATATCATATAACGTTTAATTATATAATGACTCAGAAATAATATTTTAAAATTTCGAGAGCACTTAAATTTTATGAGTGATATTTGTTATTAATACGACGTGATTGCTGATTTAAGTTATATCTAAGGTCTTAAAGCGCTCTAAAATTCACTATTCTGAAAGAGCGCATTCAATTTGGCAATTTTTGTTGTTGTAAATTTTACTTAACGTTATGTGCAATAAAAAGGTCATAAATCACTTCAAACTGCCAGTTCCCTCACACAATTCTACAAGAAACTATTTCTTTTATTTATCTAAGAAATTTCAATGTACCGAACGTATGTGTATATAATCGTGTTAAATGATTTAAAAAATTTAGATATTTTGTTTATTAATAGTAAATAATGTATGTAAATGTTTCTACCAAGCTTAAGCATACATTTGTTCATACTTTGTCATTAAACATTTTGATTTGATTTACTTCTTAGTTATGTGTAAACTTACAGTTCCTAATTGTTACCATCTCCATAATTTTGTTGCTACATATTTACTTATGTATGAATCAGAATAAGTTCTGGGTATTTGTTGCATATATCGTCTATTAAACTCACCCCTGAAAACACGCTTCAAACAGGCCGTTGCGTTGACACTGAGCAGATCATTCTCCAAAAATCTCGGCGGGGCAATAAAAGCGCAGTCGCGCTTGAAATGGTTCTCGACTTCGAAATCCTCGCCACAACTTGCCTCGTAGACGGATTCGCAGGCGTAACACTTGATGGCGTGAGCTAATGGCATTGGTGGGATGAAAAGACCAGAGACGCGTCTTATTTATGGCAGAAATGAGATCAGAAGGGGACAACCGACGCGTCGGCAAACACAAAACTCAAAATACAAAGTACAAGAACGAAAAACAAATTCAAATCCAAATCCAAACAGAACAAAAACAAACCTGAGGCCAGCAGCGAGATGAACGCGCCAAACAAAAGTAAATAATGCCGCATTGTTGATGAGAAGAAAATCGTTTTGCCACCTTTTTCCGTTTGCGTTTGTGATTTGTTTTATTTGAGTGTTTTATGGAAAATAATTCAAGTGGCAGGATTATTTATAACTTTGCTCAACGCAATTGAAACGATCCGCACGTCTTTTAAATATAAACCGTATATCCGTTGTCTATAATATATGCATTCAATATAAAGAAATGTATATTTTCATTTTCTATAAATGACTTTTACATATTTTGTTTGGTTTCAGCCCGTAAGGAAATTAAAATGTAAACACGTGTTGCCAATTTTCCTCTGGGTTCCTTTAAACTTTCCCCGATTTTAAATTCTTGGAGCCGTCTGTCTGTCGACGTCCGCAAACGAAATCGAACTAAAAGAATGCCAAAAGCATTTTCCAAATTCAACTCCTTACCGTTTTTCTCTTTTTTTTGTTTCACGCTCTCTTTTTTTCCGCGAGGAAACCACTTTATGGCCATTTCGCCTGGCGTCATCGCTGAACGTTTTTAATTTTTGTAATTTCAATGAACATTTTGTGTTTTACTCATCAACTGAGTGGAGATTTGACGGGGGAATACTGCGGGTGTGTGGTCAAGACCCGAGGAAAATCACAGAGAGAACGCTTTGGCTTTTCCGGCTGTTCTATTATCGTCAGCCAAGAGAGTTCCAAAAGTTAAGTGAAAGAGAGAGCAGCAGAAGAGAAGTGTTGTGGGTGGGGAATAGCCTTTAAGTGTGGCCAGACACGCTCCTACAACTCCCCCATTACCAAAAAAAAATCAGTTAAGAAAATCAATGCCAATAAAATTCATTTTAAGTGGATTGTTAATAAAATGTCAATAACAAATAATTAAAATGATCTTTATTGTGGACAAAAATTGTTAAAATGGTGTACAACAATTAAATTGATTTAAAAGTGACTAGTTGTACTGCAGGCTTGATTTGGTTGGGATAGTCCAGCGATGTTACAAGAAGACCTACCAGTTTTGGCCATCAGACGAGCCTAGCCAAAGTGAAGAATGATAACCTCGGCATTGATGGTCAGAGAGGAGGATCAATTGCACCCGTCTGTGGTGCAGATCTCGCAGTTGGGATCAGTCCTGCAATCTTCTGGTATGTTGTTAATATTGCCATAGAAACAGCTTCTAATGATGGCGTGAAATTCAGGAACTGCAATGGTACAAATTTATGTTACATACTTTTTAATTTTTCAATATTTAATTAAAAAATACAAAAAACACATTAAGGAAAAAGTTAAAAATAACTTTAAGTGTAGTGGAACATTCAATGAATTAAAAAAAATTTACAAAGTAACATTTTTTTCCAAATTATTGCAATGATTCTAATCAAAATACAAAGGATTTTTGAAATTATCAAGTCACTATCAATTGGCTTATTCTTACGATCATTATAGGGTTAAATATCGATATTCTGCGTATTTTTTAGCATTCATGAATAAATTACATAACATAAACAAAATTTATAAGAAATGTGTATCTATGCGAAACTTATTTCTGCCTAAATATGTATGTATGTGTTTAGTACACTCAAACATATGCAAATGCCGGTAGTTTAGAAGATGGTAAGGAATTATAAATATATAGACTTTTGGGTCTGTTATGTTAATTTTGACAACAGACGTGAATGAAGTCATGAAATTGGTCCCAAAATAGTATATAAGTTGTAGTATCATCTTTTACCACACTTATTTAATTGACACTTACAATTTTTTTTTTGAGTGAATTGATCGCATTACTTACAGTCGTATACATCCTTCTTACAACCCGTGGCATTGAGAGCCGGGAAGAAGACCTCCAGGAATTGAGGTGGGGAAATCTTTTTGCAATCCAAGCCTGGACCTATTTCCTTTTCACAATTGGGAGTAATGGCAGAATGACACTGATGGCACTTGATGGCGTACCCTGAAATTCAATGATATATGTAGATGGACTCGGCACAGTAATTCAGGAAGATTTCATACCCGTATATGCCAAAATGGCCATAACAGTGAGAGCCAAGATCACTTTTATACTCGACACCATTTCCCTTTGGATCTTTATTTTCGGAATACTTTTAAAAGCAGACCTTGATGCCACGGCTGTTGGCGAGTGTTTGTGGCCGCTGAAAAAGCGTTCAGTCCATTATCCATATTTTCACTCAGTAGTTTTCCTCTCTGCATTTCACTCTCTTAAAGTCAAATCAATATTAAATAAATAAAAAGATCTTTATTGTGGACAAAAAATGTTAAAATGGTGTATAACAATCAAAAGTGATTAAAAAGTGACTAAAGCAGATCCCTTAAAGGCTTTTGCATGAGCAGGCTTGGTTTGGTCGGGATGGTCCAGCGGTGCTACAGGAAATACTATAAAACTTATGCCAGCAGACGAGCCACGCCAAAGAAAAGAAGGATAACCCCGGCAATGGGGGCCAAGGAGGAGGATCCGTTGCACTCGTCCTTGGTGCAGACTTCGCAGCTCTGCAGCTTGTTGATGAACAGGACGGGATCAAGCTGGCAACCGTTATCCGTGTTTTTGACATCGCCGAAAAAGCAGCTCCTTATGATCTGGGGCGTTCCAGGTGCTGCGATGGTGGAAAATATAGTTTAATCATTATACCCTTGCAGAGGGTATTATAATTTTGGTCAAAAGTGTGCAACGCCGTGAAGGAGACATCTCCGACCCTATAAAGTATATATATTCTTGATCAGGATCACCTCCTGAGTTGATATAGCCATGTCCGTCTGTCCGTCTGTCCGTCTGTCCGTCTGTCTGTCCGTCTGTCTGTCCGTCTGTCTGTCCGTCTGTCTGTTTCTACGCGAACTAGTCTCTCAGTTTTAAAGATATCGAATTGAAACTTTGCACACACCCTTCTTTCCTTTGCACGCAGTATATAAGTCGGAACGGCCGGGATCGGCCGACTATATCCTATAGCTGCCATATAACTGAACGATCGGAAATGCCATAACTTTGGTGTTTGTAAAGTTAGGAAGTTGGGATTTTCTATGGGTTTTGTATTTGGCTAATCAATCCGACATGCCGAATTTCTTAAGGATCGGCCGACTATATCCTATAGCTTCCATATAACTGATTGATCGGAAATGCCATAACTTTGGTGTTTGTAAAGTTAGAATGTTGGGATTTTCTATGGGTTTTATATTTGGCTAATCAATCCGACATGCCGAATTTCATAAGGATCGGCCGACTATATCCTATAGCTGCCATATAACTGATTGATCGGAAATGCCATAACTTTGGTGTTTGTAAAGTTAGGAAGTCGGCATTTTCTATGGGTGTTATATTTGGCCAGCCAATCCGACCTACCAAATTTCATAAGGATCGGCCGATTATATCCTATAGCTGACATATAACTGAACGATTGGAAATGTCATAACTTTGGTGTTTTTAAAGTTAGGAAGTTGAGATTTTTTATGAGTATTAAGAATGCATCATATGAATAATTTTGGAGAATATAATTTACAGAGTATTCTGCAAGGGTATATCAACTTCGGCTCCGACCGAAGTTAGCTTTCCTTTCTTGTTTATTAATAACATTTTGTAGTTGAATAAGTTGGGTATTTTTAAGACAAAAAAACTTTGAACGTAACTTTACTTTTCCTAATAATAACAAAATAAAAAAAATACTCTAAAAGCGATTAAAATATTTGTTAATTAAGACCAGAAATTACGCCATTAAATTGTGCTGGGCATACTGATGAGCACGGAAATAAATGTACTCGAAAAGCCTTCTAAAAGTTGTATTTTTATACCCTTGCAGAGGGTATTATAATTTTGGTCAAAAGTGTGCAACGCAGTGAAGGAGACATCTCCGACCCTATAAAGTATATATATTCTTGATCAGGATCACCTCCTGAGTTGATATAGCCATGTCCGTCTGTCCGTCTGTCTGTTTCTACGCAAACTAGTCTCTCAGTTTTAAAGCTATCGGATTGAAACTTTGCACACACCCTTCTTTCCTTTGCACGCAGTATATAAGTCGGAACGGCCGGGATCGGCCGACTATATCCTATAGCTGCCATATAACTGAATGATCGGAAATGCCATAACTTTCGTGTTTGTAAAGTTAGGAAGTTGGGATTTTCTATGGGTTTTATATTTGGCCAATCAATCCGACCTACCAAATTTCATAAGGATCGGCCGACTATATCCTATAGCTGCCATATAACTGATTGATCGGAAATGCCATAACTTTGGTGTTTGTAAAGTTAGAAAGTTGGGATTTTCTATGGGTTTTATATTTGGCCAATCAATCCGACCTACCAAATTTCAAAAGGATCGGCCGACTATATCCTATAGCTGCCATATAACTGATTGATCGGAAATGCCATAACTTTGGTGTTTGTAAAGTTAGAAAGTTGGGATTTTCTATGGGTTTTATATTTGGCCAACCAATCCGACCCACCAAATTTCATAAGGATCGGCCGACTATATCCTATAGCTGCCATATAACTGATTGATCGGAAATGCCATAACTTTGGTGTTTGTTAAGTTAGGAAGTTGGGATTTTCTATGGATTTTATTTTTGGCCAATCAATCCGACCTACCAAATTTCATAAGGATCGGCCGACTATATCCTATAGCTGCCATATAACTGATTGATCGGAAATGCCATAACTTTGGTGTTTGTAAAGTTAGGAAGTTGGGATTTTCTATGGATTTTATTTTTGGCCAATCAATCCGACCTATCAAATTTCATAAGGATCGGCCGACTATATCCTATAGCTGCCATATAACTGAACGATTGGAAATGCCATAACTTTGTTGTTGTTAAAGTTAGGAAGTTCGGATTTTTTATGAGTATTAAGAATGCATCATATGAATAATTTTGGAGAATATAATTTACAGAGTATTCTGCAAGGGTATATCAACTTCGGCTCCGCCCGAAGTTAGCTTTCCTTTCTTGTTAAGTTCTCTTTTGTACGTGTTTGAACTTTTAAATATGTTTGCTTATAAATTCGATATCTAAATTGAGATTTCTCGTGTTATTTCCCTTTACAATAATTATTTTGCTTGGATCTTCTGCTGGCAAATATAAATTAATATTATTTAAAGCTGATTTTGTGTAATTAGTAACTGTACAAAAAAACTAAAGTAAAATTTAGGTATATACTGATAGGTGAATTAGTGTTAAAACATTATTGATATTTAAATGTTTTTGTGTTTATATTGCTGAGGAGGTTAGCCATGTTATTGTATATATTCACATTTGTATATGGTAGTTTTGTATTCATTGCCATGATCTTTAATCTAAGCACGAACGAAATCGATTTGAAAGAATTTAAATAGGTGGAGAATACAATAAATAAGAAAAATGAAATAAAAATGTTTTTACGTCAGCAAGAGAATACAATAATTCTCAATTAATGAACTTGTATAAGCTCTCAAAGATCATTTATCTTCCCACCATTATATCAAATCTAGAACAAATAGCAAATAAAGATGTGACTAATTTGTGGGCTGACTGTAATGCCATTTGCCCGCCAGTTAATTACAACTGCCACTCCCTTCGCGATGTGCAATAAGAAAAGCGAAGCAGTCGGTTGCAAATTATATTAACAAACAATTGGCTGAGGCGATGTTGCGGTCATCGAGCATAAATACTTTTCCGTTTCCCCAGAGAAATCTTCGAAAAAACACGCGATAAAAAACTGACAGTAATTATTGTCTAGAACCCAGGGAATAGTTATGCCTGGTAATCGGTGGGCAATCAAACAAATTGCCTTAAAATGTTGAACAAGTAAATCAACTCGGTACTTTTATATTAACAGCTACTGTCCATGAAGAATTTATAATGAAGGGAATGAATTACCGAGGGACGGGCTTTATCAACGTTGCATTGTGCCATTTATCATTAAAGTTTCGTAAATAAAAAGGCAGGGATGCTGGTAAAACTGAGGGTATAGATTATAATACGAAAATCTCACTGATTTCGAACTGGTAAACAAACAGATTCCTCTTATCTGTACCCTCTCCATAGACATGCATACTTCCTCTCTTTAAACCTTGGGTTTTTCCTTTCATAATCACATGCATGCAATACTTATTCAACTGGAAAGCATCCAACAAACACTGGTAGTCTTACAGCATTTCTAAATATATTTTTCTCTTAAATCATTTGACTTTTCGTCGTGCTTAAGTTGTCTGGCGTTTTCTATATTAAATCACAATTATTATTAATGGTTAAAAAAAAGCTATATCATGAAAATTACAAAGAGTATTTTTAACTAAGTAATTAATTAAGTAAATTTGAACACTAAATAATACAGTTAACCCCACAGCCGCAGCCCCAATTAGTTAATCATTTTCAATTGTGTGAGTTAGAATGGTTGAGAGTGCGCAATCGATACGATGAGATCACGGTTATAAGATGCGATCCCAGTCGCATTACTTACTTGCGATGGTCTGCTTCATGCAACCGGTGGCATTGCGAACCGGGAAGAAGTTCAGCAGAAATCGAGGTGCGGCAGTCTTGGTGCAATCCAAAACCAGGCTCTCCTTCGACTTAAACTCCTTGCCACACTGGGGATTAGTTATAGAATCGCACTGGTAGCACTTGATGGCGTACCCTGCAAAGCGATGATATAGCGATATATTCATGTGGCAGAGTTATTCCATTAGATCGCATACCTGTGCAGGCCAAAGTGGCCAAAACAGTGAGGGCCAAGATCACTTTTTCACTCGACACCATTTTCACTTTTGGAAATTATATTTTGTAATATTTCTTGAGGCAGACCTTAATTGAACGGCTGTTCTCGAGCGTTTCTGGGCTCTGAATGTTCGCGTCTACAAGCGTTCAGTCCATTGTCTGACTTTTTAGTCAGTAGTATTCCACTCATTATTCCACTCAGTATTCCACTCACTCAAAATTAAGCTTCCACTCGTTGTGACTGTGAGTGAATTTTTGTACAAGTTGCGTGTTTGAATTTTGTGTTTTTAAATTTGTATAGAAGCGGGCGCAATATTTTTTTCTCCCAACAGTTGACACACAAACGAGCCGCATAGATACATAAATATCAAAAATTTCGGACGACTTTTTGGGGGTGAGGTCAGCAGTTTTTGATTATTATTGGCCCTCTGAAGACCTTTTCCAACAGATTTTTGTAAGCTGGTAAAAAATCTGAATTAATTATTAACAATGTACATAGTAAGTCTCTGGAATCGTCATCGTTTTGAAACCAGTTGCCATTTGCTGTGTTGATTCAAATGCGCAGTTGGAAACACATTCGAATATTTCACTGGTTCTCATTGTTTTGCAAATTTTAGCAATTAACAAGGTTATGAGCTGTCAGATTACGAAGATCGCAAACTTATCGTATAGCTGAAGCCCTTTGATTTAGCTATACATATGTATATGCATGAATCACTTGTTCATGACTCCGCTGTAGAACAAATAAATAAAAGCACTACAAAATTGTAGTTTTATTTTTACGCTCTCCAATTAACAATTTCTTGAATATAGTATAAAGCATTATTTGAATGTTGAATATAAAACTATAATAATATTAGACTTATAGTGCATAAGTACCACCTTTACAATTTAAGCGTTTATCAATAAGAACTTAAAATGTTTTAAGGTCTATTAAAGGAATTGTAGCAAACAAAATAGTATTGTGTTTGATCTCTTATAATTTCAATGCCTTTTCAATTATTTTCAATTGCATTTTCTCGTTATACTTTAACTATACATTCTAAATGGTCAGCATGCAATTCAACGCCCAATCGAATTATGGTCGATTTAAATTGTTTTATTTCTAATCTTGCCAGAACATGGACACAGACTCGATTAAGTGGCTTTCCCACAAATTTCTATTTTCTTCAATTAAGTAATTTTCTGAAATTATGCTAAATGAGTTTGGGTTAATTGGGGCAGGCGGTGGTGTGGAGTGCCCTCGGATGTTTCAGCTTCCAGAGCTCTCCGATCTGATAAAGTGCTCCGGATATCGGGGTCCGGAGTTTCTTGAACTCTGCTGAACTGCATTTAACACTTTGCAAACTGGATTCCGAAGGGTATAACAATGACTGAAACTTGACTTGCAAATGAAATTGAATACAATTATCTGTAATTAAGTAGGCAGACGAACATAAATCCCACTTCCCGCTTTAAAAAAGGGGGGAATTGTGCGACTCTTCTTTATGAACATACAAATTTTGGTTGCTCATGTGGGTGCACATACTAATTAGATTCCCAGGTGTTTCACATTTCAACCCCAGACAAATCATAAAGATTCGGATTCGGCTTTGGTTTGACTCGGAGTTCTGAGTCACTGAATATCATTATTTGATGACTATAGTTAAAATGAGTCCTCCGTACAAATTGCAATTATTGGAGGTCTACCGATATAACTAAACACTGTAAAATAAATATGGAGTTACTCATGTCGGATGATTATATGGGCTGGGCGAAGTTGTAAAGCAAATAAACAACTTGTATTACTTTCCCCTGATATGTAATGTGACAAATTCGTCATTGTCTGTGGAAAAAACCTAAACATAAAATGTTTTAAAAGTTGAATTGTTGTATTCGGAAGCATAGATTGATAGAAAAAATCGTTTTTCGACATTTTTTTTCTAAAAATTTGATATAACTTCACATATTTTTAAATAAAATATTGGCATTTAGTTAATGTCCAAAATTTGTGAGTTGGGAATGAATATAATGTATATATCAAACATGTTTCATTGTCTAAGTAATACCCACAAAACCAGATGCTATTTTCAGTCAAAATATGCGCTTATCTTTAAAATTCTTAAATATATTTTTTTTCGTCTGCTTTGACACTACCCAAACGGAATCCGTATATACTGCTACGTCTAAAGCATTATGTATAACATAAATTATAAGTTGATAAACCATTTTCGGTGATAAAACTGAGGCAACTATTAAAACTCTGATCTCAAAATGATTCATTTTAAGGCCAAAAATAATCGCTTTAAGTACGGCTTAAGTACTTTTCGTTCTATAATCTTGTGCAAATTGCCCTTTACACAAAACAAAATTAGAATACATTTTTTTTTACTTGAGCAATTTAAAAACATATTTGAGAGCGATAGCTCTTTATGAAGCTAACATTATTTTATCAACACATTTTTAGTCAAAATTGGCAATAATGTTACAAAACACTAATTTTCATTACTTATTAATTAAGCCCGGGACCCTAACTATTCGGGCACAATGCTGGTCAATAACTTCCAAGAACCCCGCCAGTCTTTTGAACAAATAATGAAAACACAACTTCACTTGGTATATTACTAGAACAACCTTGTGTCCTTCTTTTATTATCAAATTAAATTTAGAAGAAATTTACACAACATATGATCCTTGAATAATAAAAACAATTGGGGAACTGCGAGTTACGAGCTAGTGAAGATCTAGGCCAGGAGGCGGGCCACGCCGAAGAAGAGGACGATGGCGGTGGCAACGGGGGCCAGGGAGGAGGATCCGTTGCACTCGTCCTTGGTGCAGACGTTGCACTCCAGTTGCTTCACGAAGGGCAGCGAGGGATCCGTCTGGCAGCCACTCTGCTGGTTGCTGATGTCGCCGAAGTAGCAGGTCCTCACGATCTGCGGATGTCCGGCCACTGGAATTGGGGAGCAGAGTGTTTGGTTTGGGATTAGCAACTGGGCCAACAACTTTCTCGGGTGGGGCTCACTAAATGAACCGATTGTTCACCCAACAACCTCGCACTTGTTAATTGTTTATTTTACTTGTTTGCGACTGATTCACTGTATTTTGTTGAGGCGGAAAACAAAGAATGCGTTTAAAAAATATAGTCATATTCAGTTTAGGGAGTTCGTCATCTAGAAATTTGATTTGCCTCTGTGAATTGATATGTCTAAAGCTGGTTTGGCTAGAAAAACGATCATAATATTTATGGCGGAATAATTAATCGGCTGTTCTGCCTAGCAAAAAAATGTAAATATTCAAACAGTGTGAAAGCGAAAAGCTTGCGGCATTCATTCAATCTCGTCATTGCTATTATTATTTTTTATGGGAACCTAAATTAAGCTCTCCGTTTGATATAATTACAAGAGTCGCAAAATAAACGTGACGAGAAATCACGTAAAAAGGTTAAAAGTAACGTCTGAATCGCAGATAGGTAAATATTCGCATGACATCAGAAACATAATACTTAAAACGATTTCCTGTGATGATCTCAGGGAGGGGCTTTATTTGAATTTTAGTGCTTTGGGGTTTTGGTTATATCTAGCTTCTAAAAAGATTTTAATTTGTTGCTATGTTATGACTACAATGTTATCAAAATGCCGAATATTGATTTGGGATATTCTTAATTATTTTTGTATTTTTCAAAACACTGTTCCTATCGAATTTTTTAATTTAAACTTACCGCTCTCAAGCACCTTCTTCATGCAGCCAGTGGCGTTGCGGACGGGGAAGAAGTTCTGCAGGAAGCGAGGGGGAGCCATCCGGGAACAATCCATCAGCAGCATATCATCCGCCTCAAACTTTAGACCGCATTTCGGCATCGTTAGCGACTCGCACTGATAGCACTTAATGGCGTAAGCTGTGGGTGAATAATCGACATTTTATTGATTGGAAAATCCAGATTTTTTAAGCGATTTTTATGTGTTGTGTTCAAGGAAATGTGGAGCTCTCATTCAACTAAAATTTTACTGCAAATACTTTTAATTCAAGCGTTGATAATTTAAATCTGATTTAAATAAAATTTGATCTTTGAAAAAAAAGTTTTAAATCTTAAATCTTTTGCTATTACTTATTTTTTTTATTACAAATAAAAACACTTTGAAACTAGAAAGAATTTATAAAATAGCTATGTATTTTCATTGCATTGTTCCTTAACATTTGGAGTGTATAAAAAACACTAATTCCCCTCTGAGAAAAGAACTAGCGTTTTAGAATATTTAGTTAAATAGAAATAAGACTACTCCACTCAAAATATGTAATAAACTTTGTAAGAAACGGAAGAAGTATTTCACTTTAAAGGAAAATTTTTCAATATCAATCAGCACATTTTTCGCCAACCGGCTCTCCTTGAACTCCTTTTAAAATACACCGCTTCCACTGCCCACACTTTCAAACGCAATCGCAAGCGCAACGCACCCGAACAAGCCAGACTGATCATAATGGCCATGGCCAAACTGCATTTCAGAGCGGACACCATTTTCACAAGCACTTTATTGGCGGAGTTGATGAATATGAAAATTAAAGTCTTTCGAATTCAAGCACGAGTCTCAACCGCCGTCAACGATGTCTGCTGCACGTCTGAAATTGTCGAGCGCTGCGAGTTCTAACAACAGCAACATCGCAGTTCCAGCGGCAACATCGCCCTCTCAGCAGCAATCGCCCCCAAAAAGATGAACTAAAAGTCTCTGCCTCACAATACGTTCTCTGCTTTTTGTTTTGAGTGAAAATTTCGGTTCGATATGCATTCATTTCTAGGTCTAATAAAAACCGGTTCTAACAATAGGTTTTTGTATTTACTACTTGTTTAAATAGTGACCGAAGCTTTTGATTTTACTGCATGCATTTACATATATGCAAACATTTGTTTTTATTTCAGTTTATTTCAAAAGTATTTAATTTCTGTGTATACTATGTAAGAGTCAGAAACAGATCCATTAACATCTACACTCTAAAGAGCTGTTTTTGCCAGCAAGTGACAGAATTTACTTGCTAATTCGCAGTTTCAATATGTAAACAATTGGATGTTCTTGCTAAAGACAACTTAATTTTAAACAAGAATTTGAAGTCACCGCCCAAAAGTATGTCATCCAATTTATAGTAGAACGATTTTACGCCGGCAAGATATACATTCATTTGGCTCATCTCATTGAGCACGATCGAATCTTAATGAGACGCAGAGATGGGGTGACACTAATCAACAAGGACGGCAAATAATTTGCATAAATTTAATTAGAAGTGGCCAGCTGGGCAGACATGGGGGCTTAAAATGGAGGCTATGTTGGGGGCAGTGGAACAAGGACACTGGCAGGATATCAACGAGGGTTGCATTGTATCGTATGTAGGTCGACTAATTGGATTCAACTTCTATGGCTATCCGATATTTGTTCGGATTAATGTGGCAGTAACAAGAAGGAAAATAATCTTTAATGGAAATGAACACATTAAATACATTTCTCGATTTCTGTGACCCATTTGATGATGATAGAATAACATAATCTTATAAACAACTTTTTAATTTTATGTTGATCCAAAATACAAAGTTTAGCGCAAATTTAATGTACATTTAAAATATTTGGAAAAACAGTATCGTTATGAATCATAATATTATTTTCAGCGATTACCAAAAGTATGAAATAAATCAAAGTACCTTATCGCCAAAGAAAACAAACTTTTGAGCGATAAGCTAATTTTTTCCATGAGAGCACTTTGTGGTGGAGCCAAGACGATAAGCTCAGATTGAAGATGATAGAATAACATAATATTATAAACAACTTCTTAATTTGACGTTGATCCAAAATAATTAAAAATAATTTATTAAACTCTATATATTTCAATGTACATCTAAAATATTAGGAAAAAAAGTATCATTATGAATCATAATATTATTTTCAGCGATTACCAAATGTATGAAATAAATCAAAGTACCTTTTATATTCGCCAAGGAAAAATAACTTTTGAGCGATAAGCTCATTTTTTCCATGAGAGCACTTTGTGGTGGAGCCAAGCCGATAAGCTCAGATTGAAGATAACCCATCTGGCAGCTGCTCTCAGTCTAGTTGCATTTCAAGTCGAGAGATGATACGTAAATTGTTTTTAATATTCCCCCTACTGTTTATACCAGCGTTGGCCACCTTTGGAACGCAGGTGGTCAGCTATGACAACAAACGGATGCTCCACCTGATTGAGGACTTCAATGGCACCGTTTCCGAGCAGCTTTCCCTGGTGGCAGCCACTTGGGGAAAGCTGAGAGCCGACTACCCAAGGGATGTGGCCAAAATCGAGGACTTGGAGGAGACACTGCAGCATGTGGTCTGTCGCAAGGAGAGGAATGTCACGGTGCGTCATCATCTGCAGGGGTATCTCATTCGCGAGCAGATTCTGGAGCATCTGGAGATTCTGAACACCACCGATCTGTTCCAGCAAGCCTTGGAATCCGAGGAACATGAACTGGGAAAGTGGCAGTTGGCCGTAGGCAAATATTCCCAGAAACTGCATTGTCTGTATAAGCCAGAGCAAATGAACAGGATCCTGGAAAGAGTCCTTCGACGAGTTTACACCTTGGAGCGGTCCAGCAAGTTGGCTGCGTTTTTGTACCAACTCTACATCTTTGGCAATCGGGCATCTTACGTAACCATGGTTCAAGCGGAATTAATGCTATACGAACGCTACAAGAGAGGTGAACAAAATAACCAGAGATTCTCCGGATACATGGCAAAACTCTGGCAGAGCCTTCAAAAGGAGGACTTCTATTCAGGACTGGATCAAAACACAAAACAACGCCTGGTGGATGCCATCATTGATCTTCTGAAATTCCTATAAATCGAACATATTTACCAAGACTTTAGTTTTGTGAACTTTATTCGGTGTGTTTTGTATATTCGAGTGCTTTAATACCTTGATTTGATTTTTTTGTTTGTCTAGCATCTGTGATAATTACATAGGTGAAGATTTGTGTTCTTTACATTAAAATATCATGTTGTACATAGACTGTTAGTGAGTATTTACTGTGCTTGGGGGTTCTAAATCTACTGGTTATTGTTTTATTTATTTATAGTGTCAATTGGATTTGATTTGGTATTGTTTTATTTTATTTATAGTTTTCAGTGGATTTGATTTTCGGGCTTTGAGCTTGGCGAACATTGGCACTCGGCCAGGCAAATCATAAACTTATAGTCGAACCTTAAACTTCAATCTGAATGTAAGCTAATGAGTGGGGCAGCTAGTGTCCCCAAAACTAAGTCAAAACCGAGCTAAACGTAAACGTTAATCAGCAACAGCTTAGCCGCTGAGGCCAGGCAAAATATCACGTTCCAACTAAAATACAATACGGAGATGTCCTCTTTAGATGGCCAACTGTTGGATTAGGGCCACGATGGGCAGGAGCATCAAGATCTCCAATATAGAGGCTCCTGTGAAGGCTCCATTGCAGCGATCGGTGAGGCAGTCCTCGCAGAATACCCGTCGCACATTCTTCTCCGGACTGGTGATGTTGCACAGCTCCACGGGATCCGACTTGTTGGTGTAGTAGCAGAACCGCTTGGTGATCAGCTTGCCATTGTCTAGAATTTGAAATAAAATTTGGAATGAATATTTTTTATACAAAGAATGACAAGACAAGACTCCTATTAAAAAAAGTTTGTTTTTTCTTATTTTAAAGATTTTATTTTTAAAGAATCATAAATTGTTTTCTATTAATGAAAAAATGGGTTATTTGATTGTGATAATAAACCAACAAAAATATTTAAAATAAACTTAAAAGCAATAACACCCTTTAAAAATATTTTTAAACACAATTTCGAAGTGTTTTACATTAATTCTCCTTTTTTAAAGGAGGCAATTAAACAACTGTTGTACTTCATACTATATTTTGTTCTACATTATTGTTATTCAAACCGGATTACTCACTCTCCTCCACAGTTTTGCGGCAAACGGCCCGCTCGTGATCGGAATTAATGGTGCTGTTGCAACTCCTCAGCAGATTGATGTTCCGCTCCTTGATCAGATCAGTGGGTATATTGTCCTCCTGGAAGGTCACATCGCAGAAGTCCTCCGCACCAATGGTGTCCGAGCTGCAGTGCCAGCACTGCAAGTGGTTCTTCTGATGCTGCTCATTTCCAGCTGCAAGAAAGCAAATAATTCCATTAGCAAAACCAACTTCAGTTGACCTTTGATGGGGTCACCGAGGGGGGGAATATATTTGGCAGGCAAACATGCCATAGAAAAAGAAACTATGCTTGCGGGCTAAAAATAAATGAGGGTGACACAGTTTTGTTTGCTTCCCCTCGAAGGACTCCAGTTCGATGTTGACATCACCATCGCATTTATGTGCCGCCCCCTTTCGAAGCGCCCACTGTGAAAATGGGGAATGCGTGCCCAGTCGTGGTGGCGCCTTAGTCAATCTTTATTACGTATACGTAACGGAGTCCACGCAGCTTAAACACTGGGTTACTTACTTCAAGATTTGAGCAGAAAAGCATTAAAAATTCAAATTAAAATCATATCATCCATATTTAATGGGATATAATTTGTAATTACATAACACATAATTACTATTTCATTACCTATGAATATTTGAATTAATTTAGAATTTTCAGGCAGTCAAATTCAGGAATATCTTAAGGCCGTTTTAAGCAGCCTGATTTCTCACCATAGTTGACAAATGACTGACAGGTATGACAGTTAAAAACTGAGAAATCTGATTGTGTAAAATGGTCTTACGCTTTTAATATTCAGCTAGCTAGTCTTTTGGTATTAGTCTCTCGATATTCTATTACAGGTAGTATATAGAATCAATTTATATAATTATTTATATTGGAACTGGTATTACAAGTATATTGCCTAATATATTTATATTGTATCTGTAAGGGCATATACGTTTTTACTACCCAAGTTTGCTTCATTCCTGGTTTTGCTGTCGCTTAATTTTGGGAATAGATTTTGCTTTAATATTACAATAAACTTATGTTTTCTTCAATAATTATAGTTTTATTTAGATCATGAGTAATGAATAATTGGTTTAAGCCTGATTACCTATCAATAACTTCGAAGCATATACATAAATAAACTTTTTTAATGAGTTCAACAATCAGAAACTCTGATTGATTTTTTTCCTGTCTATGAATATATTATTATTTCGGTTCTTTGTTTATTTTCCTTTTCATTATAATTTGTTATTCTTCCTTTCAGTGCGTTCATTTCACACATCTAATTTAATTTTCCCACCCAAAACATAAGAATTCTGTTTGAATGAGTGTTCAGTATTTATAGAATCAAAACAAATGATTTAATTAGTGCAAGAGCTTAGATGATTTAAATAATGGTGATGGCTAAGATGATTCGAATAAAGGTGTTGGTTATGGGGGGAACTCCACTAATTGTGTTAATAAGGTTGCGTGATTTTGCGCGACAGTACATCAAGATCGCCGGTTGAGACCTTGAAAGAGTTTTGCATGTCCTGCCAGTTGAAAGTGCCACGACTCGCCTTGTTTACCACAGGAAAAGGCAAACATGCCACAAGTCCAGTGGAGCACTGGGGCACCTTGAAGGCAAACAATCTTGGAAAGGGGTTCCTTCGAGTAGTGGTGGCTGTCAAATATTGACTATAACATATTTATATTTTGCTTTTCCCAGCTAAATTACATTATAACACCTGAGCTGGTCATATTACGTATACGATGTGAAGCCTCCAATTGTCGTGGCCTTAGCATGTCTGGTTTTCCTTTCCTATATTGACTGGACATATGCAAAAACCAGGCCCACACTGTTTGACTCCATTTTCTCTTTTGTTTTGGCATTTCAAGAACAATTTCGGTAAATTGGCAGAGTCTAAAATTTTATAGTGTAAGTAATTGTTTTCCACTGCTCCACATGAAAAAAGTGGGATATCCTAATTAAGACTTCTATCATAAAAAATATTTAGCATTTAAATAATGTTTAGGAAACTGCTTTTTATGCGTTAAATTAAATAAAGCTTTTCGCTTTAAAATGTATTTAAAAAATTAAAAATATTTTTCTCTAAAATAATGTATTTTTCAGCTCACTTTATTGTGTTTTTTTTCTGAGTGCATCTTATGGACACATCAAGGTCGACGCCTAAGGGTTTTATATCGCCCACGCTTAACATTACGGAAATATTCGCTGAGGTCACGCATATGGCACGACTTGGTGTGGCTTCTTTTAAAGCAGTTGTCGGGTAATTGAAAGCTGAGACTTGTTTGTAGGAAGTTGCACTCCACGCCCCTGTGAGCGTTCTTCTTGAAACTTTCAGCCCCGAAGCCTGAGAATTCAGTCTTTAAATAAACAAAACACCCCCATAAAAAATGCAGTGCAAGAATAGCATATAAAATACGATACGGATCGGATGTGTGTCAGGACAATCTCCGCTTCCTGAATAAAGGTACCCACCCCCCCACTCTCTATCTTTGGTCATTATCAGTTTGCGCAAATTACGCAATTCATGCCAGAAAACTGAGAAGACAGCCAGACTCTGACATAGTTTTCGCAATGGGGTTGGGATTTTTCGGGGGATGACGGGATGTCAGATGCCGAAGACAGCGGGAAACTGGAGCAGACGACATCCTGGCGCCACTCTGACATGCGCACTCCCCGAATCTCGTAAATCCAGATTGAATCCGTCGCAACAACAGAACAATTAGATAATTGCAGGACACCAAGCAAGGCTAATTGAGAGCAACAGGGAGCAGGAGCTGCTGCTTCGATTCACCATCTAATGACCCAATCTCAATCCTCAATTACCCTCATCATCATCAGAAATGATTCAAAAATATTTAACGTACCGTGAAAAATTTGCAAACTGCATTTGCCGTTTCACATTCTGTTTGAACCACAAATCAAGTGAACCACACTGAAATGGCTATGGAAATAAATATTGAAAAATGTCTGGCAGTCGGGCGAATATTTGTATTTATAAGGCGTGCAGGTTGCCAATCATTCAAAAGCGTGAAAATCACCGAATTGTGAAAATGCACTTGTGTATATTTAGCGATGTTCATCAGGAAAGCATTGACCCACGATTTTTCCCAAATACAACGAGGAAATGTGCAGTAAATTTAAAACAAATACATTGAGAAAAAAACTCAGCAAAATATATACTACGCAATCATACACTAAAGTTTCTTTTATAGGAAATATTAAAAAATACCAAATATGAATTTACAATAATAACAAATTATAAAAAAATATTTCCAGGACATTCGAATATGTTATAATGTAGTAGTGCGATAATCCATCCTATAGTACTCCCATAAAGAATATCAGTATATTTATATAATACTGAGCAGTATTTGAGTAAACTGAAAATCATTATAAACCCTTTTTAAATTGCAAGAGATTCTCTGGATAATACAATTATAAATCATATTTCTTCATAATTTTCAAATGTCTTTCCTCTTTCCACACGTGTTTCACCGCAAAATAAACAAATAAGCACTTTCTATATTTAAGCTATTAATATTTCATTATAATCCCACCAACCGATATTAATTTGTTTACGACAGATAAAAACAGCAGAAACCTCCATCATTTTGAGTGTCGTTCATAAATCTTATTTCGAATCGGGAGAAACATAAAATGTGCTAAGTATATTTAATGGCTTCCACCTTAAACTTTTTTAGTTGTAAGCCAAAATTTTCATAAACACCGCAAGTGAAAATCGTTAAATGGCTAGCGGAAAAACGGCATAAACAAAATGGGGAAAATTGGAAACAAATTTCATTCATGGGCTTTTGAGTATAGAAACCATCACACCTCAAATTTTGTGCGGATCGACGACCTTGTGAGGCAGATGGAATTACAGGTGCACAGAAGGAAAAGCTTGTTTAATTAGTACTGGATGTTGACAGATTCAGTATGTGTTAATTTACTTTTAAAGTTTGTTTCGAACTCTGGTTTTTAAAGTTAAAAATGTTGTAAGTGTTAGGTGAACTTTGGAAATATTTTTATTGCTTAACTTTATATGTCTAATGATTTTTTGTTATAAGAATAACCAATCCTTCATTTACTTTTAAATTTATAACTTATAATTCACAAAGGCCAACTATTGGACTACATTTTTCACTGTGCTCAACCGAAAATCTATGAAAAAGTTTCATGTTTTTTTTATATTGTTTGTTTTCATTTGGTGATCGACACTTCAGCTGTAAAATGTGGCTCACCTGTGATGTGCCAGGCATTGGCCAGCAGAAAGACACCAGCCAGGAGGGCTTTAATCGGCATCGCAGACATTGTTAGTTTGGAATGTTTATGGGAATCCTTTTCGGGATGCGGAATGCGACTGGGTGGCGCCTGCGGATGTGTATATCCTTGGAAAGATGCGGGGTTTTTCGAAATCGCTACGAGAGCTGCGCGCGATGCAGACGGTTGCTCGGCCGAGGAACGACTGTGGATAATGCCGAGGCTTCTTCGGCGCGGTGCCACAGTTCTGCTGCTGAATGTTCTGGCAGCGCAGTCGCGTCGCAGCTGGCCTGTTCTGCCAGTTGTTGTTGTTGTTGTTGCTCAGTCGGCTCCTGGGGAAACCCTTGCTTTTATTTTTATTTTTTTGTGCGAGAACCAACAGAAGCCCACCAGACGGGCAACCAGACTCACGCATTCGGTGGCTTTGTTTTTATTCCTCATTTCTTTGAAGGAGCTGCCAACAATGCAGTTTAATGGATGACGTTGCTTTTGGCAGCGTAACTGCTGTCATATCTATGTAGGTAGAAAAACAAACAAAAGTATTGAGACAAGTGGGTGTGCGTTTCAAAAAGATATTAATTGTCAAAATAAATAAAATTAATATAAGTAAATAAATTTATGCAAATAGCTTAATAAATAAATCATAACTATCTTTTTTTTACCATTATCTAATGATACAGCATTAAGTATCGATAACATTAGACATAAAACAAGAAAGGAAGCAAACTTCGGCAAGCCGAAGTTTATATACCCTTAAAGTAATTACAAAACAATGAGCTCAAAAAAGTTTGGTCGACTAAAATCGAATTTTTGAAATTTGAATATCTCAATCATTGACCCATCTTTGCCCACTTTTTGCCCCCCTTTAGTTTTGAAAATACGAAATTTTTGACAATTTTCAAACTTTTTTGAAAACATAAAAGTTGACCTTTTCCAATATTTTTGAACATAATTGCCTGCAAATGTTCGCCCATCTCCTAACAAGTAAGAATAAAAAAAATCATTTGCCCACCTCTTAAAACAGGAATTTTTAACATAAACCGGGGCAAACTTATTTTTGTTAAAAATTATATTTTAAAAGACTTTTTTTTTATTTTATTTTACTGGAATCATTTGTTATCAGGCCAATTTGATTGAAGTTAATTTCGCTTTCATAAAAAATTAGAGAATATATTTATGGAATATTCGGCAGAAACAATTTCGTTTCGCCAAAATCTGGTTTATTTGTATGTCAAATTATAATCATGTTAAGAAATCTATACGCACATGACGTGGTTTTTATAAAAGCGAAAAAGAAACCATAACAAACCATAACTGATAACAATGGATTCCAGTTAAACATTTTACAAATACCAAAGTTCTCGGAATTTCTGATCAATCAGTTATATGGCGGCTATAGGATATAGTCGGCCGATCCCTATGAAATTTGGTAGGTCGGTTTGATTGGACAAATATAAAACTTTTGACTGAAATTATAATACCCTCTGAAAGGGTATAAATATGGGTCCATTATTTGGTTCTAAAAATGCAGGATAGAAAGGTGACTAGACTAGTCACATGGCTGAACCAACTTATTTTTAAAATTAGGTTTTTAGTTAAATTAACAGATTAAAAAATATTTAATACCGGTACTTAAAACCTCAAGCCTAGTTGCTATAGTTAATTCCCTTTTCAGCGGAATAGCTTTAACCAATTTACAAGCATGGTCTTCCTAAAAAAAACGGATTGCGACTCAGCTAAGCGAAGACTCCAACCTCTGCTACAAAAAGCTATTCCGTAATCATTTTTACCAGCGCATCTTTTAAATAAAATGGGGATGCAAACTCAAATGAGTTTTTGAAAACCTTTTAAATAAAGTATCCACTTTGCGACAATCAGTAAACACCACTCTTTGAGTGATATAAATCAGCTTATACCTGTAGCAACTTCCCCCTCATTAAGCAGTGGACATATCTAGATCTGAATGCGTTCAGGCATTAAAAATGATTCACATCACCGCCAAAAATGATTCATGAGTGCAGGACAGTGCGGTGGCACAACATTTGGCAGCCGCAACTCGTCGGAGTTAGCCAAATTTGGCAACACTCTTACCAAATTGGCGACACACGCACCTGGCAGATATACGATTTCGTATGCAAATCTTGACACTAATCTGCGGCATTAGTTGCTCCTCCCAGTAGTTCGTAGCCAAAGTTGACAAAGCGTGAAAAATGCGCACGCACCCGCCAATCGATTTGCGGGCCAATCGATTTGGATCGGGCCAAGAATAGCCGGGGTTAAGGCCTGATCGGTGGAAAATCGCATTCGAATCGCTGCCTGCGCATGCGCAGCGACCAACAGCCAACAGCTGCCCTCCGGGGCGTATGCGTAACATTCGATTGTCGATTCTCAATATTTCTTCCAAAGCGGCTGCCCCATGATAAATGGCCAGTTTTATTGGAAACTCTGTACGACATTTTCGCCAGACAACAACACCAGCAACAAACAAACAAACAAAAAAACTAAAACCCAAAACAAATAAAAGCCGTGCGACAAGTTTAAATGGCCAAAACGCTTTATTCGCGGCTTAGTTGCCACCCATTTTATATATATATATATTTATTTTGCGTTATTTCACTCGATGTTGTAAGTGTTTTTCTTTTTTATGACAGCCTTCGCTTTTCGTGCCATGTGACAAATTTTATTTATATACACCGCTGGTTTTATGCGATTTTAATTAAAGCATAATGGAATTATCACGCTACCAGGCGGCACCCGAAATCTAGTAGCAATTTGTCTTCGCATTCAATCTGTGAACCCAGCAAATCTTACGCTCAATTGACTGGGTTCAAAAGTCATTCAGAGTTGGGCAAAAATAAAAAAGAGTTGGCGGAGATTCTGAATTTGCGTGGTTGGCAATTAACGAATTTCGCCAATTGAATGACAGTCTGAACTCATTTCCGCTTGGCGACTCTTTATTAAAAGACTTTGGATACATAAAGCACCATATAATATGATGAACTGCAGGCAAGAAGGCAAACGTTCATGCCTCAAATCAAATGCAATGTCAAGCGCAGTGATGTGAGACAATTACTTTTGATTTGCCTGGCAAAATGTATTTTTAATGTGGGCTACGAGTGCTTAAGTCGGTGACTATATGCACTGCCTGTGTACTATATGGAACAGGGTGTAATCTGGCTGATGTCATCACCCTACTTTAAGTTTATTTTGTTTTCCACAGCATTTGACTGCTTTTAAGTAAATTATTTATTAATGGTCTGGTATTACTTACCATATGTGTTAATCATTCGTTAAACTTGAGATTCTTAAGGGGTAAAGGACTTTTTGTGCTTTTTGAATATGACATTACGGATGTTTGCATATATTTAGCTAATAAACAGTGTATAAGTCTTTAGTTAAATTAGATATTTAACTAAAGATAACAGACATTGAAATCAATAAATAGGAAAATATATTTATTTTTGTCACATTTTCCTGAATATATAAATCCACTGTTCTATTTGGCATTGATATGGTTTAATTTAAGGGATGTTGTTGTGCAGATCAAAGGATACAAAGAATTGTTTTTTGGAGTCCTTAGCCAATTGTCACATCCAAAGATCAATTTAATGATTTTTAAGCCCCAAAAGTGTGCAATCAGTGCTGGGGACGCATCCAACCTTGTAGATCCTGAAGGGAACGTTGTACCGGCGCTCGTCCAAGGTGATCAGCATGCAGTTGAGGAGCTGCTGCAGCTGCCGCATCCTGAGGACATAGGGGGCACTCTCGCCGTCATTGAAGATCGGCTGCCCCTTCGCCTGGCAGTGGAACAGGAAGAAGGCTCCTCTGGAGGCGTATTCCGGAATAAATCCAAAGGCCAGAGCCTGATCCCTCAGCTGCAGGATGCCAGTTTGCAAGTGCTGGGCGAAGAACACACTAAGTGCGGAGCCCAAGCTCTTGGTTTTACTGTACAACTTGCCGGACGCGAACTTATCGATGTCCACCCAAAAGTTGCGTCCATTCAGGCAACAATAGGTGTTCAGGGTCTCCAGTGTGGGTTCTCCCACACAATCCCTGCGCTGTCTGGCCGCCAAACTTTCCTCGTAGTAGTCATGTCCATTTAGCAGAATCTTGTCGAGCAGACGAGAGTCCCAGGAGTCCAGGGAATGGAAACTGCCGGCACAACAGGCTACCACACAGCAGGCTAGCACTTTGCCGGGAGCTGAGGTCCTTCCGGATGCGGACTCCAACGAGGTGCCATTCTCCACGGGTTCCACCTGCTGTGGAGTGCCCCACAGAGACCACAAACGGTTGGATATCTCCACCTCGTACCGCTTGTCCTCGTCGCTCTTCCGCCGACGTCGTCCTTCGGCGTTGTGGTCCAGGAGGCGACTCCAAGGCGGCAAGGAATTCCCCGCTTCCATGGCCATCACACGAACGGCGGTGGACCTTCTTTTGGGTGGCTGCCACATTTTTGATGCCCGGTTAGAGGGGGGATGTCAGGTGATTCAAGGCCAAAATGATTGTACTTGACAAACGAAAAGTTTACTAACGACAGTTAATTTAAAGACATTTTATAAAATTTACTTTTCTGAATTTTTAAGGTATAAAATAATGGTTGGAAATGTTTTATGATTATTTTTTTAAAGTTTTTTTTGTGCCAGATAACTTAAAGTTATTTTAAGGCTATCCTAACGTATCACAAGCCTGTTGAATATTATTTATTTACTTTTACTTTTCTAAATATTCAAAATGTTAACATTTTAGTAAATATTGTTGTAATTTTGGATAATAATGGTATACCATTTAGTTAAAAACTGTATTTAATAAATCCTCCCATATCCAATTCATCAATACCTATAAAAACTGTAAAAAAATAAAATCTCCATTTGTTTTATCATCTAATTACGATTTATTTATTTACGTAGAGGCAGAACCCGAAGGCTCCTTACTTTCAATTACAAGTAGAATAATAAAGATATTACAAAGATGTACAGATTACAACAAAGTTAGGTGATCGAGTGTCGAATGATGTGTAGTGCAGAGTTGTTGTGACTACGATAAACTGTTTTGATTTTCGTGGGTGAGGTGATAATGATGAATGGCCAGGACGGGTGGCATTCGGTGTCTCCAGTGATTTGTGCAGATTCGTGAGGGCAAAGTGACTAAAAACTCGTTGAAGAAATTCAGTTAAGTCCGGTCTGAGCACCGAAATTCCCGGCCAGCTTTAACTTCAGCTTGCAGTTCCGTAATTAAGTTCGGACCGGAACGGTTCGCTCATTTGCATAGCGGCAAGTGCCGCAAGGATGCCACCAGAAGGGGCACTATCAGGAGCAGGACCAGCGGAGTGGAGCCACTGCCTCCGTTGCAGCCATCGGTGGTGCAGGTGCGGCAGTAGACGGTCTTTATGTACGACGAGGTCTGGTCGTTGGCGCACTTGTCCGCCGAATCGTCCATGTCCTCGTAAAAACAGGAACGCGAAATCACCCGCTTGCCGTAGACTGAAAATGGAGAGCAGCGTTTAAATATTTTCATTTAGCCATTTTAATTAATGTCTCTGCTCTGTGTGTGCGCATTAAATTTAATTTATGTGTACGTGCCGGCGTGGGCTGCTCAGAAATGACATTTGAAATTGCCGCAAGACGGAAAAAAAAGCCGGCTATGTGGTCATGGTTTTTGAGCCAGTATCTGAGGCTGTGCTACATAAAAAAAGTTCATAAAAAAACAGGATCAAAGAAAAATAAAAGGGCAAAAATATAACGAACTGTTTTTGAGAAAAACAACATCGAAAAAATACGCAATTTTCTGGCTAATACACTACAGACAAAACAGGAAAATGTCAATTTTTGTATACAATATTGTTGTATTTTGTTTTAATTTTTAAATAATTAAAATCAATTAGAGATAAAAGGGAAAATCCGGACATAATTTTGATAGTAATAAGTTTATGATCCCTTTACTTATTCTTTTTTTTTAATTTTCAAGGAATTCTCGACCCAAAGAAAGTCATTTACTGTGGTACTTACTGACCCCTCTTAACCTGCAAGGGGTTCAAGGCTGCTTATATGTTTGGGTTCGGCAAAAAATCGCAGCAAAATGAGGCTGTGCGGCCTGCGAAACGCACACGATTCGCCAAATCGTACCTGAAACTCGACGAAACTAGAGACAATTTGCAATCAGACGGCAAATGAAAACCAGAAAGAGCAAATCGAACAGAAAAAAAATGCACAACAAATTGCGTGTTGTGTGTGTGCAGCAAATAGAACAAAACGACAGACTACCACAAAAAAAATTTCCAATGGAATACGGCAAAAGCGAACTTTAAAAGCAGCTCGAAATGGTCAAAGCTGGCCATTTTTGTGATTGGCTCAGACGGTGGACAGTGGGCCACAGTCAGGCTAATAAAATTGTTGACAATTGTCGCCTTATCACGGCCGTCGCATCAAACAAGGCTCAGAACCACCATCAGAATGCAGCGGCCGCCGTGTGTGCCACATTGCGCATACGCCGCGTGCTCCGCTCGCCAAAGCAGCGCTGCCAAAAATGTCGCTTGAACATTGTCTACCGCACACACAGCGCAATAAATTTAAATTTTAATTAATTTAATTATTTATGGCTCGTTATGTATGTTTTATATAAAAAATTGTTAAGGCAAATATGGTAAATCAAAGTAAAAATGAATATGGTGCGTACTCCGTACGCCGAAGTTTTTTTACTCTTGAAAAGAATTGCATCAGGAAAGTAAATACTAAATAAAATATTAATTTTTATATACTCAACAAAAACATATTTTATTTAGTATTTACTTTCCTAAATTTGGTTATGTACTTTGATGCAAAATATAGACAACAAACCAACTATAAGAAAAGTTATTTTAGTCCAAGCCTTTAATTTCATAAATACTAAATCTTAATAAATTGTCTGATTGTCAAAATGTTTTGATCAATTTTTGCATCGCTTTAAAAATGTCCAAAGAAGAGTTAGTTAACCTTAACAATTAGTGTATTTTAATTTTTTAATTTATTTAACTTGCAAGCTTACAACATGAAAAATTAAAACTTTGAAAAGGAAAATAAATCAACAATTATTGATTGAACGCTGTTTAAGTAGATCGCGCTTAAGCCTATAAAAATAGTTAACTTGTTCAATAAAACATATATATCAAAAATTGACGTTATATATCTCTTCCTTTTGGCTCGTCGATTCCCTGGAGAAAAGAGGCAGAAATAAGCTGTTAGCCGCCAAAAATGGTCCTAGGCCGACTACTTTTTTTTTTATATTGGATTTAAAGCAACAGGTTGCAAAATAGTTGCAGGCGCACACTAAAATCAACAACCTGCAACTAATTGCTTGACTTCATATTTTGGCATTATGGAATACATTTTTAATTTGACATTTGCCGAAAAAGTTAGCCACTCGTCTAAGCTAAACTTCATAAGCAATTAATTTAACGGCAAATAAAAACCCAGATGGCAACAACAAGTTGCATCGCCTAGTTGCATTTTTCTCAGACACATTCTGCCGCCGCAGCCCCCCGACTTACCCCTTCATCACGTAACTGGTAATTGAGCGCTTCACGCTGTGCAACAACTTAATTAATTTATATGTATTTTGTGTATTTTTTCCTTAGCCCGGTCGGCCCGTATATTATGTATTTTGCGCATTACAAGCGCTGCTCATGTAGTTCGGGGACCAAAACTCAGTCAGAGATATAGATATAGCGACGGCTGAGAGTCTGCAATTGCAATTTTAATTGCCAACTGCCAAGCTCAAATCTTGCAAATATTCGCCGAGCCAATTTGTAGACGCTTGATTGCAAAAATTTAATGGTGTTCATTAATTGGCCATAAGAAATTACTTAAATGCGGTTCAAGAAATTCAAGCCGCCGCTTTTTGAAACAGTTGTTGATGATTCTTAAAATGCAATGATTTATTTAAGAATAGTAAATTAATATATGACAGTTAGGTTTTAGAGTTATCAATTATTTGAAAAGTGCAATTTTTCGGAGATTGATTTATTAAAACTTAATTTACTTGTTATCATTTCTTTTTGACATATCTATCCCCTTTAGAAATAACTTTTTTAGAAAATCTTAATCTGATAAGTTTGTAATTTATGACCAGTCTTTATAGAGTTTTTAATTTATGTTTATTAAAATCTATGCAATTTTTCAGTCAGGTCAAGCCGTAATTGTTATGTTAACAAATTGTGGCTAACATTTTTATTGTTTGTTTTGATAAAAAGACAACAAAGCTTTGCCAAACGCAATTACATCATTTAAAGTCAACATATTTTCTATTTCATTGTTTGACTGGCTGACCCACATTAAAATCCGAACCCGACTCGTCTGCCGTTTGACAAATTTATGCGGTGGCCGACAATGCAAAGTGAATTTAGATCAAAATGTGACGACACGGATCGCTTGGCGAGTTTAATTTTGCTTTGTTTTGATATGCTTTTTATTGTTATATGCAAATGTAGAGGTACAACAATAAAACTAGTAAATAAACCAGGCGGACAGCGAAGTAAAATCGGACTTAAGATCACCAAAACCCACCACGAAAAATCACTCATACGCCCCATGTGCCGGCTCTTTCTCCACATAAATTTGCCGTAAATTAGCGGCACATGCAACTGCAACTGGGGGCCAAAATGTCGCCACTTGTCGTTGTTATTGTAGTTGTTGTTTTCACCGCCCGGCAACCAGCCACGCCCCCTTCAAACGCCCAGCAACAGCTGCAGTTGCAGTTGCAGATCTGAGCCGTTCCATTGGCAATTGTCCGCTGTTGTTGTTGTGTCGCCTGCACTTGTTTTGACTTTGTCAGGGCAATAAATTTCAATCTTGTTTGACTCTCGGCCACAACCGGGTGTGAGTCGCGTCGATCCAGCGATCCTAGCCCCCAATAAAATCCACAGTTTGAGAAAAATTATAATTGATATCTTAATACATTTCAGTCTTTCGGAAGGAATCAATGATTTTATGGTTTAATTTCATTAATTATTTAAGTTTCAAACTAAGCCACAGCCAAATTAAATTCCAATTTGACTAGTCTTTGAAATAATTAAAGATAATTTATCATGGGATGTTCTTAATTTTTGTTCTAATTCTGTTAAAATTATTAAATTTTTAAATTAAGGAAATCTTTAATGGAAATTCCCTTAATCTCACATTTAACTTTTACTAGTCTTTTACATAACTAAATTTAATTTAATTTAGGATATTCTTAATTTTTTTTTATTACTGGTTGTGCAGAATATTCTTGATCTTCGGGTTGTTTGAATTTGTATGTATTGTATTTCTACTGATAAATTGTAAGTTTTTGCTCAGTGTAGCCCGTCCAAAGACCGCACACGCGGTCACAACAATGCAAATGCAACGGGTGCACAATTACTCATGCATGTGGATTTTTTCTTTTTGAGGTTCACTGACACAGAGTGGGATATGTTAGTTAGGAGGGGGGGTTTGATCTCACCTTCCTGGACGAGTTTTTTGCAGACGGGCCGCGCATTCACCGACTTCGCGCCCACCGAATAGGTGCAGTTCACGTAGCTCCAATAGCGCTGCTGCTCAGAAATTGACTCCGGCAGAAAGGGATCGTTGCAGAACTCTCCGTTTGAGACGTCCGTCGAACAGCGCCAGCAGCGCAACACCGCGGAGGCTGAAATGGGTAATTAATATCAATTAATTAAGGCATTTTCAATTAAGACAACCTTCGATGCCTTGTAGGGCAAAATATAAAATTTCCCAATGCTTTCTTGGCTAATCAGCTGGAATCGTCGTTAAGAAATACAATAAAAAAACAATTTTAATATTACAAGACATAACAAAATAAATGCATATTGGAATTCGTTTTGTTTTGTTGTAGTTATATTGCCTGATTTTATTCAATGAATTTTAATTGTATTTTAATATAATTACTAATTGCTTAAAATAAAAATAGCATCCAAATATTAAGTTGAGCAATTATAAGAACAATCCTGAACTATGTTCGTTGTTATTTTCCCCAACTTAAAAAGCATTTACCATTCTAAGTTTAGTCTTAACTGATTTCCTATGTTGTTCGAACCATCGACTATCAAAATCATAATAAAGTGAGTAACTAATTCTTGCTTTCCGAATCCATAACCGTTCGACTAATGAATCGCATCCCATCATAATCAAATGGAATGGCCGCTAAGCCATAATTTCCTGCTGCGTACGATGCCGTTGGCGGAGATCTTTGAAATATTGCCGAACAGCCACTAATTTCAGTCGGGAGCCTTTTTGGCCGAGTTATTTATGCGACAGGCTATGGGGCAACTGCCGTATAAAAGTGTCAAAAAGTTCGGCTACAGCTGGTTTATGCGTGCGATTAGCCACTGCGACTAGTGTGTAAATAATTATTTGATTAAACTGAGCCAACGATTGTTGACTGCACTGCGAAAAATTATCTTTTTTTATATCATATATATTTAGTTTTTAGGTATAGGATTTAAGATAAGGATTTAGATTAGACTAAAAGATGATATTGATTGCTTTACATACAGCTATGAAAATGTTTATAATCTCAAATTTTGTATCTGTAATGTAATGGTAAAGATATGGAAATTGAGAAACGATTTATTATATACCCGATCTGATTTTCGGTCAAAAAAATATGTTAGATTTTGTAAATTTGTTTTAAAATGTAATTTTGGTTTAAGACTCTATGATATTCTTTCTGCGTGTGACTCTGAGAATGGTTGAGTGATGATGATGACTGCGGCTGTGATGGCGGCCATAAAACTCGTTTCTCTGGCCAATTTAAACGTCAAACGTTAACGTTCGGGTTAAATGCACTTAGCCAACACTTTGAGGTGCGTTTAAACGAAAGCCTAGATAAGTCGAAAGGCGGGAGAGGGGAACTGGGGAAAGGGGAAAGGCCGGAGAAGTGTGCCAACGCATTGGCCGAAAAACGTGTTTTCGGCCAGCGACCGCATTTGGCCATAAACAACCAGCATAAACATTGCAATTTGCGTTCGATTCGCATTCGCATTGGCAGTTGGCAATTCCACGCAATTGAGTGCCAGAGCCGAAAAAACTGCCGCGAAAAATTGCGGCGTAACCGAGATGGAAATTATAATCATTTACAATATATTGAAATTAATTGACAGTTGAATTGTCAGATCGTTTGCAGAATTGTTTATTTGCGCGTCCGCTCGAAGTCGGTGGCAGTTTACTAATGGTAATGACTGTAATTCCATGGAAACTGAAAATTGATATTGTGCCTGTCAGTGGTTGCATTATGCCAACCGTTGTGGCAGCCGCAGCCGCAACTGCCCGCCAAACATGGTCAAAAACATACGAGTCCGAATCCGAATTCGAATCCGATTCCGATTCCGAGTCCCATTCCGAATTTAATTTGGGCCCGAATGGTGACCGCTAAGTGCGTAAGTATTTGTTGGACGAGATGTTTTCGCCGATAGTTTTGGCCATCGGAATTCGGCTTTAATCATCGTGGCAAAAATGAGCGGGGGAAAGGAAAAAACTGAGGTTCCAAACAGTTCTTTAATTTCCAACCACGCGAAAGTTTTGTAGCATAACTACATTTCAACTCATGTTGAATAATATTAGATACCAACAAAAAATTAAATAAGTGCAGCTACATTTGTTTGCTTAACTCACGCCGTTTAAGTATAAGAAATATTGTTTATTGTTAATTCGATTAAATGCAATTTAACTTTTAGTGGTTACATTTTCTAAGTATTGTTCATGATTTAGTTAACTTCAATTGATTATAATTTAACTTTTAGTGGTTAATTGTTGTCAATATTTTGGTCCATTTTATTTAAACTATATTTTTTTAAATGCTTGAATTAATTATTTATTTTCTTGAATCAACCTTAACCATACAGGGAAAGCAACCCACTAACTTTATTAATTCTGGATAATATTCCAACCCTTTCTAATGCATTTCTAACTCTGTCAAGCCTATAAAAGTAAGTAAAGTTTAATGCCCTTTGCGACCATATCGGCATATGGAATTGCACCATATACCAGGCCGAAAGTACGAGAAGTCTACAATGGGGCACAAAGTTTCCCACACACCGACCACGGGGTTCACATGCAATTTTTCCATTAAGCTCCAAACTTGAGGCGGACTGCAAGTTGGACTTGCAACATTTGGGATCTGCCCCCGAACATCCATAATACATTTGAAACCCTACGACTTTGCCCCCAAAGAAACGTGTTGATTGTCAGCCCCGTTCCACATTTCCCCCCAAAAACTCCCACAAATTGCCGTCCATATCGCGGCGCATTAAACTTGGCAACTTACGAGTGTGTGGAAGTTACATTGTAGTTTCTTCGGGGGGAGGGTGCAACTTTGTGACCCTAAAAAGTAGTAGAGGTTCAGCTGGAGCTTCAATAGAAAGTTTCGCTTTGCCTTGGACTGACGTGCAGTCTAAGTTCGTTCAACTGCGAAAATGCCAAATGCAAAACTCGTCAAACGTTTATCAAAATTGCAGCATATTTGTCACGAATGCCTAAATAATTAGCCAGGAAAGGTATTTGAAAAATGTAAAGGGAAGGGCTATGGGAGTGTACAGTACAGTTTCGATTTTCTTGACCTCTTTTAATTTGAACAGACTACTTGTTCACTTGTATTGTTTTCAAGGTTTAGCTTTTTAAAAATACATTTTAATATGTGTTTTGTATATTATATATTAAGTGTTTACGTCTGCTATTTGCAATATAAAACTATTCACAACACTTAACACATTAAATGCCTAAAGTACAAGAAAAAACAAATATATACACTTTCTGAAGAATTTTCATTGCAATGAATATATATTTTTATTACTGAATGGCTGAAAAATTTGCGAAAGAACTATAAGGCTTCATTTGTATGATAATCAAATTAAACTACATATATAGTTATTAGCTCAGAAAGTTCAAATAAATATACACTGCATCATCATTACATTTAACGACAAAAGTTATGGTTTTAGTTTTCACGTTTGTGTAACATTGTGTCATTAGCGTTCTTGTATTGAATAATCAAAAGTTGATTTGCACTAGTTAAGTGATTTTTAAAAAACATAAACAAATTAATTATTTAAATAATCAGTCTTACCCATAAAATAAAATTAAATTAAACAAATTTATTCGTACATTTCATTAACTTGAAAACAATGGTAATAAATATTTTTAGACACAAAAACCAAAATAAGAAACAATTTTGTGTTTAGAATATTTTGTTAATAAATATTCAATATCGATACCAAATCTTAAATTTACAAATTAATTTTCTTTGATTTGTTGATACAAAAACTCAATCAATAATAATTTTGCTAGCTCGAGTGTATGCATTACTTGCACATTTTCTGATTGCAGTGGGTGTGATTTGTTTTTCTAGGGACTTTAGTTTACTTTTAATATTCGAGATTATTGCGATTTATGTCCAACCAAATTGCAGTGAATTAGTAAGCAACTGAATGGATTTAATTAGGCTTGGCAAAAACAACGAGAACAGCAGCGGATTATTAATTAAGACGATCTGCCGACTGCGATGGCGAACTGACATTTAAGATTAGGCGAAGGTTAAGGCTGGATATGCCTCATCGAAAAACTCGATGACAAGCAGATGAGCTGTTCATAATAGCTGAGATAATTACATGTACTCTGCCATACCCTTAATTTTGTATTATCCCATATCGTTCTAGTAGATCTAAGCCTAGTCATTTTTATTGGGGTGGACCTGAGTGGTCAGTTGGGTTTATGCCACTCCCACGCAACATAAACACAAATAAACTTTTAATTGATGACATGTCGAGATATGTTGCACGCTTTTTCATGGAACATTTGAGGTAATTTTGAGTAATTGCTAAGACATCAAATAAAAATTCTTTTTATGCCCCTTTTTGTGTAATGAAGAAATGTCCAGCAATTAAATGACAACCATATTTTTTTATTTCTCCACATTTCCCTCAGACATTTTTTCCGGCTATTTATAATATTTATTTTCTCTGCATTTTTAAGGTTGAGAAAATATTTTTGTGCTCATTACGGTTGAACGTCGGGTGTTTAAAGTAAAAATAAACACCAATGAGCGGCGGAAAAATATCGAACAAGTGCACAAACAATAATAAATCATGGAAAATTAAGATCTCTCTCTTTTTCTCTTAAATTTCATGTGTTTCCAGTGGATTTCGACTGTCCAGACAATTGCTCTGATAATGGGAAATATGTTAAAGAAATGAATACAGATGGCCATACATTTTAAGACCCTTATCAATGAGGCCAAACAATAAAAACAATTAGTTCGTAAAAATAATAAACACGGTATTTTCAAGTAATAATCAGATGCAAAAAAATACATTACTTATAAAATAACACGACAAAATTTTTTATTTTTTATACATTTTTTGGTGCACTTATTTATTTTAATTAGGGTACCATTCTTTAACTTTGTTATGGATTCATTTTGTGTGAAAACGTATTTCTTCCTAGTCTTTTGATCGTTCCGAAAGCAAAGTGCAATTGTCCATTGACTTTGGAATCATCTGTATAAGAAACTTAAAGTCTGCACCTTTGCAACATATTCGAATTTTCTTTAATATAAGCTCCCCAGTCTTCCTGCATCTTTCAAATACTTTAATCTGACTGAGTTTTCCCCCTATTTTCCGCATAAGCGAACCCTTTTGATTTGGTTCAGTGAACTCGAGCTTGCCGTTTTTTTTTTTGCACATTTGAATGAGAAATCACGCTCACGCACTTAAGTTAGTCCGTGCCACCAAAAAGCCCCACCCACTTCACTTAATTAGCTGCAGTTTCATGCGGAGTCAGTGCAGGTGGACGAAATGGGGTCCTGAAACCCACCTGTATTGAAAAACATCAGCAGGGATAATAGGCCTAGCAAAAGGCAGCCTGTTGAACCGAAGGACGTCATGTTTTATACTTTTTTTTTTTAATTTCTTCGTGGAAAATATAAGTTATTTCACTGCACACCACTGCACTTTAAAAGGGGTTTTGAATTTGTATTTCTTGTGGCTTATATATTCCCAAAAAATATTAACTCTGTGCGATTTTCCGAACACGCATGCGACCCGTTGACAAACTGACTGCGAACTGAAGCTGAAAACTGAAAACTGAACACTGAATACTGAACACTACGCGACAGTTGAACCAATCCAATAACAAAACGAACCCAACCCCAACGCACACGAATCGCCATGAGAGAGATCGTTGAAGGCGGGCGGTTGAAAGACAGCGATTGAACGAGTGCCGCTTTCAACGAGAAGAACATTATTTCGGTGGGCCAGGGGGGGGGCTACTTCTGTTATTCGGTTTCGGATTGGGTTGAGTGGATTTGAGTGGAGCGACGCTGGGTCGGGTTTACGAGTTTACTGCTCCGCGATATGGCTGCACTTTTTTAATGGTGCCCGCAAACACTTGCAGTTTCAGTGGCAGCACTGTGGTCAAAAATAAATACAATTTGAAAAAAATTTAAGGTCTTTTGGAGGTTACTAAGTTTAATAAATTAAACTTTAATCGGAAATCTATTAATAATAAATATACCAAAATTATTAACAAAATATTTGGTCAATAAAAGTATTCGAGACACAAAGTTTAATTACAGTTTTGGTATTGTTTTAAATATGAATGGATTTTATTTGTTAATGCATTTCTATTTTCATGGAAAATATTAAACGAAACATAAAAAGTTTTATATTTGAGACTTTCATATCAGTTCGAATCATTTTTGGTTTCGAAACAATATAATTGTATTGCTTTCAAACATTTAAAACAGTGCGTTTAATATGGTTATTTCTCCAAAATGACTTACATTTACTTTTACAATTTTCCTGATATCTCCAAATTTTTTAGCCCACTGTGCACTGAAATGTGGATTGGCGTTTTGCCACACCATTTGACGCCTAATGGCAGCCACCGTCGCCGTTTCAATCGTCATCGTCACTTTTCTCTGTGCAATATTCACTTCGATTTGACCATCAGTGTCGCCCGTCTAATCAAGTGCAACTCTCTGATAAGGAAATGAATTCGGTTGAGGGGAATATTTTGTTGGGGACAAATTGGCTTTGCCACCGAAAAATGTTGCAAGTACTTAATGCTTTTTCAATTGCAATCGGAAAGTGCGGGTATTTTGAGGTTTTGTCTTTTATTGTCGTTGCAGTTGAGTGAGTGCGTTCGAATTTAATAAAGTTTGTTTTGGGGTTGGATTAGTCGTCAAAAACTTGATTTCTTTTACGACTTTTTGTGGGTACCACATTTATGCGAGTTAGTTATAAAAACGTTTTATTAGATGCTTTTTATTATCAAAGAGGAAAGCAAAACAAGTTTGTGTCTTTAAACATAAAATCACAAATCCTATATCAGGAATAAAATGCACATTTTTAGCATTATCTTAGAAGAATTTTATTCGAAAATATTAGATATATAAAAATATTTGAAAAGTTAACATCTAAATTTATATTTTCACATGGTAAATAAACATTAAGTCTCCTCAAGTTTTATAAAAGTAATTATTATGTGACGCCAGTTTTTTTTCTTTGCATACATAAATAAACATATATAGTAAATAATAAAAATAAATATTCGTTGTTTGATTTTGTACAATTATAGAACAAAGTTTTTCGAAGTCCAAAACAGAGACAAGTTCAATGGCCAGACAAATAATCGCCCAATCATTTCTACCTTAATACCAAAAACTCTATTTGAAAAGCTATGGTACAATATAATTCAGTCATAACCACAACACAAAAATTTTACTCTAATACAAATATATTGACAGGCCCAAAAGAAATTATAGTACTTGGACATGACAAATAAGTTGGGAAAGTTCATTGAACATGAAATATGTCACTTTTGGTTAGTCCAATAAACTACGCCTCCAAGGTTGAAATTGAGGGATGGTAAGACCATAACCTTATAGAAAAAAGCGAAGACAACCCTCCAATAGATTGATTGTTCTAAGATATAGAAGCCCAAGAAAATGGGACAATGACATGTGTTTTCCCTAGGGGTACTTTCCATGATTAGTCAGATTTTTACCGATTTATTGATGGAATTCGTTTCCTGGCTGCAAACAAATTAGAAAATAATTGAAGTCTGCTCCAGAAATCGATTAAAAGTAGTTGAGTTTACTAAGAACATATGTTGGTCATTATGCTGAAAGCGATTTATGGGAAGCAATTAGGAGGAGAAGGTAAATAGTAATTAATATAAGAGAAATTCAATAATTAAGCTGATGAATTGCCGGAAAGTTTCTGTATCCATCAAATTTATATTTAATCCGATCTTGTCACGTTTCAGCATTTCCGTCAGCTAAATCTTGTTTGCTCGAACAATTCTCATCTGCGTCTCAGTCACTGAAAATGATTATGGCAAATTGGGGCTGAAAACAGTTTCGCTTGCTTGACTAAATAATAAACCTTAATTATAGGTGGGTTGTTAAAGCAACTCCCAAAAAAAACGCAGCTTGGAGCAGTCTTTATCCGAGACAATTTGCTTACAACGTTGATTACAAAAGCGGAAATTAGTAATTGCCTGGCTTCACAATTTTAATTTCTAGCAATTAAAAAATGTTCAATGTTAAACTTGCCAGAAAGTAAATTAATTTATTAAGCGAAATATCAAGTCAATTAAGTAAATACAAAGTTAGATATTGCTTAAAACAAAGCTCGATCTGAAACCTTTCAGTAAATGTTTCAGGTATTGATGACGATAGAACATCTTTCTATGATATTATTTACCTAAGTTTTGTTTACAATAAGAATAATAAATATGAAATAAAATATAAAAAAAATCATTGAGTTCTGAATCAAAGCAACTAAATGTTAACAGGCTTGATGAATATTTAAGTGATTCCCAACTTACTTGGGTAATTTAAAATCTATGGTTAAACCATACGATATAAAATATATCTACAAATGTTGCTTGGGAAATTTGTAAGCCACTAAATCACGTAAATATACCACCCCGTATCATAACCATTTACGATATAAAATATATCTACAAATGTTGCTTGGGAAATTTGTAAGCCACTGAATCACGTAAGTATACCACCCCGTTTCAGAACCATTTAGTCAATACCACACCCCGATCTCCATGGAAACGAAAGTACTTGACAACCAAATTGCATAGCCATAACAAAGAAAATTATTTTGTTTTTAGTTGTGAAACATATTACCGGAATGAAGTTGCGAACGCGGGTCTGCAAAAAACACTCTATAAAAAACTCTGAGGCTCCAGAGGAAGACAGCCGGAAAAGCACAAATTATCCACTGAGTTGTGTGGATTGGAGCAGCAATGAGGATATCTATTTTGTGAGGTGAGTGAGGCTTTAAATAGGTTTAAATAAGTCAAGAATATTAAAAATAAAAACTTTCCAACAGCGATGACCACCAGATCTTCAAGTGGAGCGATGTGAGCCGGGATTCGGTGGAGGTGGCCAAGTTGCCGGATGACTTTGTGCCCACGGACCTGCACTGGCTTTTGTTGGGCGGCAGGAGCAGTGGTGGTGGAAAGGGTAGCGACACCTTGCTGATCTCCAGCAATGACGGCAGATTCGTGATCCTCAACAAAAGTGCCCGTGTGGAGCGAAGCATTTCCGCCCATGGAGCGGCCATCAGCTCCGGCCGCTGGAGTCCCGATGGCGCCGGACTTCTGACCGCCGGCGAGGATGGTGTGATCAAGATCTGGTCACGATCCGGAATGCTGCGATCCACGGTGGTGCAGAATGAGGAGGCCATCCGCTGCGCTCGCTGGGCGCCTAACTCGACATCCATCGTCTTTTGCCAGGGCGGACACATATCCATCAAGCCACTGGCTGCCAACAGCAAACTCATTAGGGTAAATATAATTGAAACGGATTTTTAACATAAGAATATTTAACCTTTATTTATTATAATTATTATGGTTCTTATATTTTTGGAATTGTTAGGTATTCAATTTAACGTACTTATAAAAAATAGTATGTAAATTTAAAAAGCTTTAAAAAATTTACGTGATAGCAAGTCTTAAAAATGTTATAAAGTAAAATAAGTATAAATTGAAAATAATGTATTATAGATTGTCTTCCTTCAATTACTTATAATTAGCGTTTATACTTGTGAAGATGTTTGTAAATCATTTACCTTTCTTTATATTTTAACATTCTAGTGGCGAGCCCATGATGGTCTGGTGCTTTCCCTCAGCTGGTCCACTCAATCCAATATAATAGCCTCTGGCGGAGAGGATTTTCGTTTTAAGATCTGGGATGCTCAGGGTGCTAATCTCTTTACCAGTGCCGCGGAAGAGTATGCGATCACGAGTGTGGCGTTTAATCCTGAGAAGGACTATTTACTGGTGGGCACATTCAACCTGCTCAAGTTGTGTCACAGTAATGGCGTGAGTTTTGATCAGATTTATTACCCTAAAAACTCTCAAGATCCCAATAAATTTTAATTTTAGTGGTCATATAACAGCGCTCGTTTCACAACTCCAAGTGTGGGCTCCTTCTTCAGCCTTTCCTGGTCAGCAGATGGCACTCAAGTGGCATGTGGCACCTCCACGGGTCAATTGATTGTGGCCTATGCCATCGAGCAGCAGCTAATCTCCAGGAACCTCAAGGCAACCAGCAAAAGCCGCAAGTCGATTGCCTTGAAGGATATTGCCACTGGCACTCAGGATGTCCTGGATTTTCCCCAGCGGGTGGTTAATTTCGGTCTGGGATATGGACATCTGGTGGTGGCCACCACCCACCAAGTGCACATATATAATGAGAAATACATCAATACGCCGATTATTATCGACGGCAGAAATGATACGAGGGTCATTGAAGTGAGCAAAAAGTGAGTATCTTAATTATCTTTAAAAAAATATGAAGGGTATAATGCTTTGTGAAGTCATTAACTTTCAATTATATTTTTAATAAATAAGTACTGATCCTTGTTATTGTGTTTAATCAGTTCTTATTTTAATCCAAATAAAATTAATTTTCTTGTATTATTTTTTTTCAGGTACTTTATGATATTGGACGCCTCATCGATATGGGTGTACACTTACACGGGTCGTTTGCACCTGAATCCGCGCTATCCCGGCTCCCAGGCGCAGATTCCCCTGCTCACCTGGCGCTCACTCTCGCTGGGTCTCGATGTCCTGGCCATCAGGGATAACTCCGATCCGACTCTGCTGCACCTGTTCGACCTGATTCCAGGTGCCTCGAGGCAGTATGATCCCCATTCGCTGAGGGCCAAACAACAACTGGCGGAGATCGCAGCCTGTCGAGCGGGAACTGCCGAAGATCAGTTCGTGGCCTTCATCGATGCCAATCGAGAACTATTCGTGAGTGAAACCCGCAATCTGAGTGGCGAACGTACGGATGAGATCTACAAGATCGGCACTCAACTCATCGCGATCATGTGGGCCAGTGAGACGAACATCCTGGTGGGAGTGCACGACTCCTGCTACAGCATCTGGTATTGTCCTGGGGAAGGGGCCGCCGATCCTACAATTATTGCTCTGACCACTATAACACTGGATACGGCGTAAGTACAAAAGTAAAATTTGACTCACGTTTATTGCAAAGAGTTATCACACTTAAGGGCAGCTTTTTTTCAAAAACCAGGAAAATATTTTAAAAATAAAAATTGTAGTCTATTCTCATTTATGCCTAAATCCTTTTTTCCCAAAAACACTGTTTTACAACAAAATGTACAGCTATCTAAAATTAAAATGTTTTTCATCGGAGTTATTATTAGAAAACAAAACTACATAATTTTGCATACTTTTCTTAACACAACATTTTTATGGGAAATACGACTGTATCACTTTTGAACAAAGAACTCCCAAAAGAATATTCTAAGGCCAAATAGTTGTTTTGAATTTTGATAAATTCTGAATATTCTGAAAACGCTAAATGTATAATTCATTAAGGTCAGAAAAAATAAAAGGTCACATTTTGTAACACAATGATGCTCTTTTAAATAAGAATAGAATAATTTTATAGAACTTTTCGGAATAAAAAAATATCTAGAAAAAAACAAAATAGTTATCATATCATCATTTTCAGCGAATTTGGAAAGCATATAACGATCGAGAGTTTCGAGGATGCGGTGGTCACCTTCCGCTGCGCCGGCGCCCTGCTCCCGGTCAACGTGAACATGTACTGCGAGGTGCTGCATCGCGCCCTGCTCGAGGGTCAGTGGCAGCAGGCGCTGAAGATCTGCCGGATGGGCCAGCACGCCAGCCTGTGGGCCACTCTGGCGGCGGTGGCCACCAGGAAGCACCAGCTGCAGATCAGCGAGGAGGCCTACTCCGCCGCCCTGCAGATCGACAAGGTGAGCTACCTGCAGCACCTGAAGACCCTGACGCCCTCGAGTGCCGAGCAGATGGCCGAGAACTCGCTGATGCTGGGCAGGATGTTGGAGGCGGAGACGATCCTTCTACACGGCAAGAAAATCGAGCAGGCGGTGGGTCTATCCCTGCGGATGCACAACTGGCGGAGAGCCCTGGAAATCGCCCAGAAACATAAGGCGGACCATCCAGACTTGATGCCGCGGGTTATCCAGGAGAGGAGAAAGTATTTAAAGGCCCTGCAGCGTGAGGAATGGGATCCACTTTACCTGCCCCATGTCATTAAAGAAGAGGCTGATAATACAAGCGAATAAAGTGATTTTAAATATTCATTTTAAATATTTTGTTTATCTGTTGTTTAAAACAAAAAGATCATTTCGAATTTCGAAAATGTTACAGGAACTTTTTGGATAATATTGGGTACAGTTTCTGATCCTTTTAATAAGCGGGTGATAGCATGGGTTCTCCAGCCAATCCTCGAAGGACATTGTGGGAGGCCAGAGTGGCAGCATCGATGCGGGTTCTCCTGGTGGCATAGCCCACATGGGGAGTGACCACTGTATAGAAAGAAAAAATATGTTAAGTGCTTCATGATAATGGGACTTAAAAGATAAGAAACCAAAGTGTCAGGGGTTGTCAAAAAATGAAGGGAAAAGAATGGAGTAGGTATTCCCATTACTCTTTAATGACAATAAATGTATTATTTGTCAAGGTCATATACACATAAATATTTACTCAATTGTATTTATTTTTTATATTTTAAAGCAATACTTAAAAAAAGAACTATAATACTTACCAACATTGTCTAGAGCCAGTAACTTGTCTTTAGAAGGTAGAGGCTCAGGATCCATAACATCTAAGCCAGCTGCAAAGATTCGGTTTGATTTTAAGGCATCGTAAAGATCGTCCTGGTTGACTATTTCTGCGACAATAAATAAACCATATAATATCTAATATAATACATTTGTATATATGATATACTAACTGCCCCTTCCAACGTTGACCAGCACAGCTGTTTTCTTCATTTTATTAAATGCGGTGGCATTAAATAAACCCTGGGTTTCCTTGGTCAATGGGGATGCGATGACAAGGAAATCACTTTCCGTCAGGAGAGTATCGAAATCCACTTTCCTGGCATTGAACTGCTCCTCGATATCCTCACTTACGCGATTTCGTGTGGTGTAGAGCACACGATCGATATCGAATCCGGACAATCGCTTGGCCACTGCCTGTCCAATGCCTCCAAAACCGTAGAATCCCACGGTGGAGTCACGAATGTCCTGACCCAGCAGCCAGTCCAAATGGTCCTTATCCCAGTTGTCACTAAAGTGGAATTGATTATAAAAAACAATTCAATAAATTATGAAAAAACTAGTTTTAAAGAAAATTTTATAAGACCTTTATAAGGTCAAAAGTTTACTGATGATTACTAACTAAAACAGATTTTTAAAGATATTAGCAAAGTTAAGCTAGTTTTGTGATGATTGTTTTTACCTGTCAATCTTCCTTCGGCCTTCCTGAAATCTACGAGCAGCAGCAATTAGTAATCCTACGGCCAAATCGGCCACCGCAACAGTTAGCATCGCAGGAGTACTGCCCAGTGGAATACCCCTCTTCTTTAGCTCCGGGACATCCACATTGTTGATCCCCGAGGACATCGTAGATACCGCTTTGAACTGCGGACCAGCAGCATCCAAAATCTCGGCATTAAGGATATCTCGACCGCCCCAAATAGCTGCATGAACCCCCTGGATTTTCTCTAAAATCTCGATCCGATTATTGGGTGGTTCGTTCAACACTTGAATGATCTCGCACTTATCCTTAAGGATTTCAAGGCCCTCGGGAGGCACGTCAGTATGAGCGATCAGCACTTTGTAGGGTTTACTTGAGGACATTTTAGGTGACTTTTTTGCCAAAAAAGATATAATTTAATGATTCAAATAATTATGAGTTTGACGACAAACACTTGATAGATAATCACAGTGTGGAGATTTTAAGAACGCGCTCTTCTCTTGTCAGCAATTAAATAAAGAGTTTTTTGAGATAGCTTTCACTTACCGTATATTCTCTTAGCTCTGTTCAAAACTCTTAAAAAGCTTAAAATTGTTGTTAGCACTAGGGTTTTCAGCGGGAGGTTTGTATAACGACTGACCAACTATTAGCTATGGTAGCAGTCTTTTATAGAGTGCCAGATATTGAAAACACTTATCACCTAAAAAGCTGACAACCAAAATGCATGAAAAGCTTTTATGGTAAACTTTCTATGAAAAATAAATATAAAGATATAAATATTGTTATAAAAATATTTCTAGTTTTTTGTTTAATACATTTAATGGTTTCACTATAAGTAATCTACTTGCGTATACTACATATAAACCAAGGAAAGAAAATAAAAAGATTTTATTCTTTATAAGCTTCAAAATTTGATATTAATTTATTTGTACTAAATTCAAAATTTATAAAAATTATTTAATTTCCAATTTGAGTTGATGTAGCTATAGGTTTAACTATCTTGAACTTTTCCTTAGTAGGCAGGCCGGATCATAGGCTTACCCTCTATGGCATTTAGGATATTATTGGCAGCTAGCAAACTCATCTCAATGGTTGTCTTCATGGTCTGAGTGCCCATGTGGGGAAGGATAACTACGGCAAAAATAAAGAATATAAAATTCAATTCATAAATATAGAAAAAAATTTAACGAAACTCACCGCAATTGGGCAGCTTAAGAAGAGGATTATCGGCGGGCAGAGGTTCTGGTGTGGTGACATCTAAGCCAGCTGCAAAAATCTTGCCAGTTGTCAAAGCATCATGTAGATCAGGTTGATTTACAAGACCTAAAAATGAAGTGCTATATAAGCTTTTGATTTAATACTCATATTTAAGGACCTACCCCCTCTGGCTACGTTAACAAACACCGAACTCTTTTTCATCTGCTGGAAGGCCAGTGCATTGAACTTGTCCCTAGTTTCGTTTGTGAGTGGAGCAGCTACCACCAGAAAATCACTCTCCTTTAAAAGGTTCTCAAATGATACGTGCTCTGCCTTGAAGTCCCCGTCGTTTTCCTTTCGGTTGCGAGTGTGGTAAATTATCTTGGCCACATCCCAGCATTGCAAACGCTTTGCGATTGCCTGGCTGATACCACCAAAACCAAAGAAACCAATGACAGAGTCGCGAATTTCCTGACCCATCATCCAATTGATCTGCTCGATTTTCCATTGTGACCTGATGGAAATTTAAAACTTTAATGGACTAATACAATGCAATATGAAACAGAGAACTAGTCTTAATAAATATAAATATAGTTAAAATCGTATTTCTTTCTAAATATTGGCTTGCCATAATTTTAATTTTTCGTTATTTATTGGAAAGCAATTTTAAGTTATTTTAATTAGACGGACCACACTTAAATATTTTATAGTTTAGAAGCACTGATTTGATTTTTCACTGTGATTGTTTTTACAAATTAAAAGAAAGGATTTTCCAAGTGACAAATATTAACTAGAACATTTTTAGTAAAATAAACTCTTGCACTTTGTTTATTTGCTTTCAAAACTGCAATTTTCATTTGTTTCAAGAACAACATATCATTATGTTATATATCTGCCCAAGTATTATCAAAATAAAAGCTACTCTCAGATAGGGTATATAATATCTGTCCAACCCTTATTCGAAAAGCTTTCTATATAAAAAGCTCTTTTTGCACTAGCCCCAATCAGCTGCTATTACCTCTCAATTTCGGTGCGTCCGGCGTGAAAATGCCGACCAGCTGCAATCATCAAACCAATAGCCAGATCGGCCACCGAGTTTTTCACCACTCCGGGAGTATGTCCCAATGGGATTTGACGCTTTTGGAACTCGGGGATATCCACAAAATCGATTCCCGAGGACATGGTGCTCACGCAACGGAGCTGCGATCCGGCAGCATCCAAGATTCCGGCATTCAGGGGCTGATAGTGGGCCCAATAGATGGCATCCACGCCGGGCACTTTCTCTAGGATCTCCTCCCTTGAGGGCGGCACACTCTGGCAGATGATGGTTTCCGCTCCGCGGGATCGAAGGAGCTCCAAGGCCGGCACTGGGACATTTGGATGCGAAACGAGCACTTTGAAGGCACTGGCGGCTCGAGACATATTCGGGAAAAACAGAAGGTTTAGTTATCAACTGACAGCGGTCAAATGCAGCGCCCAAAACAATTCTCAAGCTTTTTTCTCTTCTGCATTTCTTTAGCAACGATTTTACTCTTAGAATTACTCTTTCACTCTCATTTTGGTATGCAAATTATAATAGTTCGCATTTGTTGGTATTATACTCTCTAAAAGGGTATTTGAAATAACAAAATTGAATAAAATTAAATTTTATATCTTAAATCTGTTTTTTCATGTTTAAAATTTTTTCATTGTTTAAGATCTCTAGAAACCATTTTTATTTCAAAACCACTTTATAAAAGTCAAAAGAACGAACTGATCTTAGTACTTGTTTTTGTTAGCAATTAATCTGCATTATTTACCATAATACAAAATATGATTGAATAGCGACAATTATTGTATTTAATATTTTTGAAATAGTATCTAAAAATTTAAGCAACTTTAAGAGGTAAAAATCTTGTACTACTAGTTCAAAATAATTTATTTTAGACACTTATAGTTCTCATTAATTTCCCAAAATAGAGATATTTTTTAATAGGGAAGTTATTGTTTGTTAAAATGTATAATTTTCCTTAAATAGTTGAAAGGGTATTAGCATTTCCCCCCCTTTAGCCAGTTATTAACTATATTTAAATGAAGCACTTTGCATTATCAACACTTGTTTTGTTAGTTATAGTTTTTATTTTCACATCTACGAACATGCCAAGGCCATAGATTGGCCTTTCACACTTCACTGGACTGGCTTCCCACACTGGTTAATGCTTTTAGCCATTTTCCATTTGAATTTCTTAGTAGGCGGGCGACAACATGGGCTCCCCAGCCAATCCTCGCAGAACATTGTGGGCGGCAATGGTGGACATATCGGCACGGGTGCGCTTTGTGGCAGATCCAATATGGGGCAGGATAACTAAAAGTTGGGAAAAAAACATCAAGTGATTAGTTTGAGTGACGATAAAGCCAAGCCAGATAACCAGTTTTAATAAATCACCAAAATAAAGGGACATCAGAGGTCAAGAAAGACGCGAAAATATGATAAAAAGAAGAAACAAAACTTAAACCTGCAATTGTTGGTAACCTTCAAGAAACCTTACTTAAATCTTTTTGAAATACTTTTAGACATTGTCAACTACCAAGCAGATAAGACGAAATCTCAATATTGATAAGGGGGACGGAAAGTGAGTATTTGGTAGGTGGGGGCCCCAAAGTCAGACTGATATCAATAGACCGAAATTATTTTGATTGTCCCACTTACCGGCATTGTCGAGCGTCAACAACTTGTCCTTGGGCGACAGAGGTTCCGGATCCGTGACGTCCAGACCGGCGGAAAAGATTCGGTTCGACTTGAGAGCCTCATAGAGGTCATCTTGGTTGACAATTTCTGGGGGGTAGAACAAATCATTTTTAGAGTCCGTTGAAATCCCCATGCGGTAATTGAAACTTACTGCCCCTGGCAATATTGATCAGAACAGCGGTCTCCTTCATCTTGTTGAAGGCGGTGGCATTGAACACACCCTGGGTGTCCTTGGTCAGGGGCGAGGCGATGACAATGAAGTCACTGTCGGCCAGAAGGGTATCGAAATCGACCTTCTTGGCATTGAACTCCTCCTCGATCTCCTTGTGCACACGACGGCGGGTGGTGTACAGCACCTTGTCAATGTCGAAGCCGGACAGACGCTTGGCAATAGCCTGGCCAATTCCTCCAAAGCCATAGAATCCCACGGTGGAGTCACGGATGTCCTGGCCCAGCAGCCAGTTGAGGTGGTAGTTCTCCCATTGGTCACTAAATTAAAAGAAAAAAATGTAAAACATTTAAAAAAAAAATAATTTGTAGAATAGAATAAAATATAAAAATAATACTGATCACTTAAAATTATTTTAAAAAATGTTTTTGTTTGAAAATGAAAAATAAAATTAAATAATTGGAAATTAAATTAGTCTTTCGGAAATATATTTTTAATATAGTTAGATATGTTTTAAAAGTTATTAATATGGTTGCTGACAAATGAAACATAATAACAACAAACAAACAATACATTTAAAAATTTTTAAATAGAAACTTTCAAAGACTTTTTTGACTGAAAAAACAAACGTAATTTGCAATATTCTAAGGAACTTTTAAAAGTATATACATTTTTTATAGCAGGCTTTCGATTAAAATGTTTCCAAATAATGTATGTTAAATACATAAAAATATTAAAAACTTAGAAACTCACTTGTCGATCTTCTTGCGTCCCTCGTGGAAGCGGCGACTGGCGGCGATCAGGAGACCCACTGCCAAATCGGCCACGGCGGTGTTGAGGACGGTGGGAGTGTGTCCCAGCGGGATCTTCCTCCTCTTCACCTCCGGCACGTCCACGTAGTCGATGCCCGCCGACATGGTGGAGATGGACTTCAGCTGGGGACCGGCGGCATCGAGGGCCTCGGCGTTGAGGGGCTCGTGTCCACCCCAGAGAACTCCATCCACTCCTTTGATTTTCTCCAAAAGCTCAGCCCTGTTGATGGGCACACTCTGCACCTGGGTAACTTCGCAGTTCTGCTTCAGCAGGTCAATGCCCTCCTGGGGAACTTCGGGGTGTGTCACCAGGACCTTGAAAGCCTTGCCAGTGGACATGGTGCGGTTTTGATTCTGATTCCTGCTGTCCCTGCGTGGGAGGGAGGCATTAATATCGGCGATCGCCAAGGCCACCACCAGTGGCAGCAAGAGCTGAGCTATCGATCTCATCTTAAGAAGCGTTGCGATCGAAGTCGAGTTTCGCGAGCAACTGAACTCAAAAGCGGCATACGCACCCAGCTTTAAACAGCGACGAGGACGGAAAGCCGCTGATGCGACTGCTGCGACCCACGATCGCAGCCGATAAACCAATGAACCTGTTTAGCATTTTAATCCGCGCTCTATCTCTTTCTCTATATAGGTATTCTTAAGCCTTCGAACAGCTGATTTCGATCTGAGTTCTCTTCTACGGCGTATAAGACGCTGAACTGGTTTCAGAATTTAATGGAAAGGCATGGGAAAAAAGGTATGAGATTGGAGTTTTTTAAATGGGGGACTCTTTAAAATCCAGACGTATTTCAGAAAAAATAACACCATGAACCTTTAAATAATCTTTAAAATAGGTAAATATTAGTGCTCATTTATACGAGAATCGGTGTTAAAATAAATGTATCGAATTTATTTATAATGCAGAAATTTTATTGCATTAGGAACTGATCAATAAATCAAAGGATTACAACTTTATATTTGAAGTAAAAAAAATAGATTGGAATTTAGAGACAATTATGTCTGTGGAAATTTTATTCCAAAAAGTCTCATTTTTTAATTATTTAGGAAATGGAAAATAATTGAAAGTAATACTTGAAACTTTTTGTTTTACGTTTTGTTAGGTAAGTAACTTTGTACTTTTGGTGAATTTTTACCAATATTAGGTGAACAAAATTAGTTCAAAAATAGTTACCAGCGCAACGTGTTACTTTAAACACGCCCAAAGTCATTAGGGTTATTTGGTAACTAATCTCAACAGTTGAGGCCCCCTAAGATCTATGGCGAAATTCGAAAAACAAAACCTTCCAGATATGTTCACATCTAATCATTTGCCCACGACACATTCAACACATTCAACTAGACAATTTGATGCTTTTTTCGCATTGTTTATGAGAGGCAAGTGGAAAAAACCAGCACTGAAATTTTGATATTAATTACAATTCGTGTTCAATGTCACACAAGAACAAACTATCACTCTTAAAAGCTCTCTTAAACCAAGGCTTAAAAGAGCAGCGGTTCTAAGAGAACTAATATTTTTTTTATTTATATATTTTTTACACTATTAAATTTATTCTCTGCCAATCACACTCGCACGGCGAGAAAAACGAACTGAATTTTTTTCGGTGAACCGGTAACCAAAAGCTATTTTCAAGTGCTCGCGATTAGTTCTCTTACTAAATGTATGTATGTTTTATTTTTGCCTTCTTACCGTGAGATCTATATAACTAGAATACTTTTCAGCTTTGCGTTTGCCGCACGACTGAGTGATCGGAACCCAAAGCTTAAGCCTTTTATAGAGGCCACATCATATCGCAAATAAATTATCAGTTCTGAAAAAAGAGTTAAATAGAAGATAATTTTTGTTAAAAATAATTTGAGAGTTATTTGATTAGTTATTGCATGTCAGAAAAATCAGTAGTTTGAATTTCAATGGATTACTAAATATTTTTTATTTTATAATGTATAATAATAATTATAAATAAATACAGTGTTATTAGGTTTAGTCAGACCATTCTTGCTTAAGAAATGAGTTATTTATATGAAAAAATATATATTTTTGTAGTTTTTAAGATATTTTATTTTACAGTAGTAAAAAGTTTTATTTACTATAGCATACATACCTTATTATTGAGATTATATTAAACGGAATTCCAGTGCTATCAGCCTTACGATCGGCGACTCTCTCTTCTGATTAGACCCGTGACTCGCTGTCCCTTTCTTTCGTTGCACATTGCGCTGTGCCTCCACCCCTCAGTCCATCTCTTTCCAGCTGCTTATCTCGCTGCGTTGTGTTATTGCTCCTTATCGGAGCGAGCGAGACAGAAGCGGAACTCTTTGAAGGGAGTGAGCAGTTGGGAAAGCTGCGCGCCTGCTCGAAATACCAGTTGGGGACTTTTCCCATGTGCTCGCATGCAATTTCCAATTGGAATGGGCACCACCGCAATCGGAGCCACTGGAGCAGTGGAGCCACTTGGCCATTTGCCCATTTAGCTTTGGAGCCACGGAACACTGGAGGCGGTTGGAAGGTTGTGGAACCTACGACCAGCACTATTTCGCTGTTTCGTACGCTTTTTTTGTGAGCGGATCTGCTCAAATTTTGTCCGCAGAGCAGCAGGCGCTCAGCAATGGCCAAAGCACACTCACTCACATCGCCGCCGTCCCCACTTTTTTGTTGGGCTCTTTTTTGTCTGTGTGAAAGCGGCGGTAAGAACGCGTTGGCGTTGGCGTCGCCGTCAGTGCTGAGCAGTGGACTAGAAATTAGCTTCAAATTAATTCTGCAAAAATTTTAAATATAAAAAGTTACAAAAGTCAAAAATAATAAAGTTACGAAACTATTAGTACTTCGTTTTTGTTTGTTAAATCTTTATTGAAGAATGTCCCCCGTTACTTATCTTCCATTTACTTAATACAAAATACAAATTTGGAACAAAACAGAATCAAAAGTTCGGATTGCGTATACGGCAAATTAAAAGTGTTGCCTACTTCCAGGCAACATGTGCAAAAATAAAATGGCAGCTGAATTTGCCTATAAATCAGTCGTAAACGATTTAAACGAATGTAAAATTGTGTCGAAAATATGGTCGGCTATTAAGCAACCAAGATTTAATCTTTGAGCATATGTATGTATTCATATATTAAAGGATTTTCATTAGCTGCGATTCATAATTTAGCTATTTTTATGCTGTCATCACTTGTTTTAGCTGCTATTAATGGGGTTTGTCGTGTGTTTGTTGGATTTTGGTGCTTTGTTGCATTGAAAGTGTTTTCTCTCTTCTTCTTACTTTGGAGAACTGGCCCAGACACTGCACTTTGCCTAATTGAAAACGAAACGGAAAAAACCAACCAAGTTTTTAGCGCTCTATGCGAGGGTGGATTTTTTTGTTGTCGTGACGCTGCGTCGTGTGTGTTTGTTTATTTTTCGCCCCTCACTACGCTTTATTTTCTTCTTGCTTTGTTCTTTTGTTTCGTGGTGATTTTCTTGTGCGCTCCAGCGGCAGAGCGTCGCATATTGTCTGCTTTTTTCATATTTATGCTTTCCTGTTACCAAAACACGATGCGTCATTTTGACTGACGTAACCGGGAGACAACATTCCAATCGGAGACAGCTGTCTATCAGACGCGACCGTACGTCTGCCGCCGCCGGCATTGCCAACGCTGTACTGCGGTTTGGCGAACAAGCAATCAGCAACCGATGGCAGCACCCAGTCGCCAAAAGAGCGTCCATGCGGCAGACAAAGAGAGAGAGAGAAAGATAATAGAGAGAAATGCGGAGGAGTAACGGTGAAATTGTAACTGCGATGGAAGATGCGGGAGCTGCCCCAAGTGCCCACCGCTCTTGATCCGCAGCATTAACTTAGCCCTCTGCGCGTACATTATGACCTTATAATATCCATATGTTGTGAGTATAATATTTATTTTGGGGATTGCTATAGAATACAATAGTTTTATTTAATCACATATAAAGGTTTATAAAAGTATGCTTTGCCAAATAGAACATCGTCTTTCAGCTTTCCCTCATCAGATTTTCCGTTTTCAAATATAATGTGGCATACTATTGGGCGTCTATATAAATTTGTATTTTACTTATCAATTTATTTTATTATTTTTATCATTAAAAAACCCAAGCATATGTTACAGACAGTATGGTTCAAGTTGTATAACATATACAAAAGAGAATTAAAGAAGAAACGCCGCTTTAGCTTGGTTCTTAACAAAACGCTTAGTGCCTAAATCACTAAACAGGTTTAAGTCCAAGCACAATAGATAAAATTCACTTAAAGCGAGCTTTAATTCACAAAATTTCAGCGGGTTAAAGGGCAAGTTGCAGATTTCTAAGCAGCATCCAAAGGCATCTCCATACTACCACATTCTGGTTGCTTCATATTTGGCGACAGAGCAGCGGGAATCGCAAATGGCGGCCGAGCTACAAAGCTGCAAAGTGAAGCGTCGCGCACTCCGCGCAGGCGCCTCCAGACCGCCCAACTCCACCGCCAACACAGGAAAGAATGAAAGAATGAAAGGGGGTGAGGGCAGCACGAAAAAGTGGCCGAGCGTCACCGATTTTTATAGTGTAGGCTCCCTAAAATTGACGCGCAACATTGAGGCAGGTCCCTCTACGCGATATAACGGAACAGGCGACCAGAGTCGCCAAGCAACAAGAGAACAGGTCGAAAAAGAGAAAGAGAGAGTAGCCCCAAAGCAAGCAACCAGAGTCTGCGAGTGTGGTGGTGAGCCCCAAGTCGACAGCGGTACCTACATACCCCACAGAGCAAGAGAACGGGAGAGGGAGATTCAGTGAGCTCCAGTATGAAAGATAGGGAGTGAGCTCCACTAAGGGGGAGAGAAAAAAAGAGAGGGAAAGTTAGCGACCGTGGGACCACTTGTACATATACAGTGAATTTCCGATACAGGGAAACAATGGTTTTTACTGCAACGTTGAATAAAATAAAACCAAACCAATTTTTTAATAAGCATATCATTGTATTTTAACATAACAAAACATTTAATTTTCCGTTCAATTACAGTACAGTATGCAAAAAAATGTTTATGAGTAATTAGGGACAAGCCATGATTATTTTAAATTCACATATTTCTTTCTCGCAAATCCTGTTACAGCTTCACTGATTTAAAGCGTATCTAAATACTTTGCTTAACTTATATACTGTAATCAACTCCCAGTTTCGGCTTAATTTACAGTTGCTCAGGCGAAGTAGCTCCTACATATGTACATCTATGTTGGCTTTGTAATGATGTTAACATTGACTGACGTGAGGCACGGGTCGTAATTTACATGTCTCTGTTGGTTTGTTGTTGTGGTTGTCTGTGCAACAGTCACCGTTGTTTATAGCACATGATAGTTATGGGAATGCAAGTGTTTTGTTTTCGCTGTTGGAGAATTGAGAACGCGTCCAGGGTCACGGGAAAGGGGGATGGGGAGTGTTGGAAATGTATAACCACAAGCATTTTAGCACATATTTTGAGGTATACAAAAACGGTGACTTCTTTTGAATTACAAAGTAGAACAGGTCTTTACTTTTCACGCCCTTTTTAAGGTCGTCAGATAATTCAAAATCAGTGTCTTAGTAAGACTTATGTAAGTATGTTGGCCCCTTTAAGCTATTTAACATTTTCCCTTTACCTAAACCAAGCATTTTTTTTTGCTATTCCTTTCACTCTAAACTTTTATCGCTAAAATGTTTAATCTGCCACGTTTTTTAAATGATTACGGGTCAATGCTACGCGATTGATAAAAAGACAAAATTGGATGTACAACAAAATCTTATAATTGAGCCCTGTTAATTTATACTGCTCCATGTACCTATGTAATAATATGTAGCGTGCAACGAATGGATTGAGATGACATCCCAGATAACGTATAATTAGAGTCATTTGCTATATAAGGTCGGATTAACGAATTATTGGCACACAAAAATGTTTACGGCTCTGCTGATTATCGTTGTGGGAGTGACCAAAATATTGGCCACAGACTACATCCTGCTGATCGAGGACCCGGACCTCTACACGCCGTGCGCCGAAGGTCCTCCAGGATCAATGACCTTCAACGATGCCTTCGATGTGAGCGCCGCGAAGATCAGTATGGACCCCGAGGGGATTCATGTTACGGGGAATATTACATCTATGTGGAGTTTACCGCGCACAGATCGCATTTCCGTAAGTTTACTCCGTCTGAAACGGAAGTTAACTTAAATGAATTTCACTTTCAGATCAGATTGACAGTGCTGAAATATAATCGCGGTAGCTGGGAACCGACATTATTTAACATGGTCACGCGGGACTTTTGCGCCTCGATGTTCGATCCGAATCAGGTCTGGTTTAAACACTGGTTCCAATATTTTAAAAACCGCGACGAGATTCAAGAAAAGTGCATCGCAACAAAGGGTGTTAGTATTTTTGGTATTTTTGATACCGAAGTCGATTTAAAATGGATACTTTTTTTAGACCGTTCTGGTGTACAATAAGTTTGATGTAATTCCACACCTATATAACGTCATGGGCCCAAATCTTAATGGACGATATAAAGCGGTGTTCTTGTTTGAAGCATTTGACGAAAAGAACGTAAAACGAGATACATCCGTATGCTTCGAGGTGACAGGCGAGGTTGAGAAAGTACGGAAATAATAATCTCGAGACTTCATATCGTAATTATTGATAATTTTAATATTTTATTTGAAAACAAATTTTTTTAAAGCTATATTATAAAGTCGTCTGATTTATATATATGTTAAGAAAGAATAAAGTAGAAGTCCGATTTAAAAAAAAAATAAAACCGAATTTCTGAAATCGTTGAAAATTACCATATCTTAGATTATAATATATCGTATATAGTAATAGAACAACGAGGTTTTTATTTCCCTTTTTTTCCCGATTGTTCATCTGGAAGATTCATGATATAGTAGGCCGATTTCGCTCCGACTTATATATGCACATAACTGCAACATAAAGAATACTTTCTGCAAAGTTTTATCGAATAAGCTTAAAAGCTGAGGGTCTAGATCAACTCTCCTGGTGATCGACATCAAGAATGTATATTCTTTATAGGGTCGGAAATGTGCCGTTTACTGTGATGCAAACTTTTGACTGTAACTATAATACCTTCTGCAAGGGTATATAAATGGTCCTGATCTACACGAAACTTTACATATTGCTGGAAAAATTCCATGTGATTAAACAAATTCTTATAAATTGTTACGAGCCCTGTTAATTTGTACTGTTTCATGTAATAATATGTGGCGTGCAACGAGTGGATTGATATGGCATCCTAGATAACGTATAATTTGGGAAATTCGCTATATAAGGTCGGATTAACGAATTATTGGCACACAAAAATGTTTTCGACTCTGCTGGTTGTCGTTGTGGGAGTGACCAAAATATGGGCCACAGACTACATCATGCTGATCGAGGACTCGGACATCTACACGCCGTGCACCGAAGGTCCTCCAGGATCAATTCCCCTCAACGAAGCCTTCGATGTGACCGTCATGGAGGCCAATGTAGACGCCGAGGGGATTCATGTTTCGGGGAATGTTACATCTAAAATGAGTACACCGCGCTCAGATCGCATTTCCGTAAGTTTACTCCGTCTGAAATGGAAGTTGACGCAAATTAATTCCCAAATATCCAGGCCAGATTGAGTGTGCTGCACTATAACCGCGGTAGCTGGGAGCCGACAGTATTTAACAGCCACACGCCGGACTTTTGCGCCGCAATGTTTAATCCGAGGGAGTTTTGGTTTAAATACTGGTTCAAAAATTTTCAAAATCGCGAGGAGATCCAAGAAAAGTGCCTCGGAACAAAGGGTGTTAGTATGGTACTTTTGAACACATATACAAATCGTTTCAATACGTGTTTTCTTTTCAGACCGTTCTGGTGTATGAACCGTTTATTGTCATTCCGCGTCTTGATAACGTCATGGGCCCTACTGTTCAAGGACGATATAAGGCGGTGTTCCTCTTTGAAGTATTCGACGAAAATAACGTACAACGAGATATATCCGTATGCTTCGAGGTCACAGGCGAGGTTGAGAAAGTACGAAAGTAATAATCTCGAGCCCATTCGTAATTATTGATCATAAAATATTTTATTTTAATGAAATTTTTAAATAAACTACAAATTACCCGATTTATTGTTTAAAATATAAATACGTATTTTGATGAACAAAAGATTTGGAAAAAAAAGATACCACAGTAAAATATATCACATATATTCATTGTAACAATATCTTAACTTTTAACAGATGGGAAATAGATCGTGAAGCCGAAATGATGGATTGAGTCTTTGGACAATACCAATTTCGATTCCATGAACCGCAATGTCGCATTCGGCTCATTTTTATTCGCATAAACTTTTGTCATCAATTTATAGTGCCAACAGAAATTGTTCGGGTCGTTTTAAGGCACCTGATCATTATTAATACTATTTAAATCCAGGGTGTTGCCTTAACTATATTAACAACTAAATTTTTCATCCAATAATATTCAGTACAGTACTGACTTCACCACGTAATGCAAGTCTGTTTAAAATCTAAGACTCCTCAGGTATCGTACCATAAAATAATCTGTGTCTATGTTTTAGTAAATCAGATATCATTGGTACATTAACTTGTTAACAGAAATATTGCATGAGATAATTTCAATCATATACATTTTATTACAAATACAGAATGATGACATGTGTGATAACAGACAATGAATGTTAGTTTGAGTTAGGAGAATAACTTCCGCCAATTAAAATTCACTATATAAGATCGCATCATTAATTTGTTGGCCCACAAAAATGTTTAAAATTCTGCTAGTGGTGGCTGTGGACTTGGCCATTGTTTGGGCCACGGACTACGACTTGCACATCGAGGATCCCGAAGTGTACTCGCCGTGTACTGATGGTCCGCCCGGTTCGATTAGCATCCCCGAAGCCTTCGACATGACTCACATGGTGTTCTATCAGGACGAAGAAGGCATTCATATTTCGGGGAACTACACAGTCAAATGGGACTTACCTCGCACCGATCGCATTTCCGTAGCTTAACTGCATATAATACCAAACTGCTGGTCTCACTTCGATTACTATTTTCAGGCCACATTTAAAGTAATGTATTTTAACCGAGGATCCTGGGAACCGACTATTTTAAGCCAGGTTACGACGAACCTCTGTGCCGTCATGTTTGACAAAAATCAATACTGGTACAAATACTGGTTTCAACACATTGTGAACAAAGAGGATTTAAAGAAGAATTGCATTACAACAAAAGATGTGGGTATAAATATTAATCAGATGAGTTCCCGTTTCGAAATATCATGGTTTTTTAGTCCGTGGCGGTGCTTAATCCGTTTATAATGCTGCTACGCTTAAATAACATTAATGGCACTTCCTTTCGCGGACGCTATAAAGTGGTGTTCCTCTTGGAAGCTTTCGATGAAAAGAACAAAAGGCGACCAACGTCCGTGTGCTTCGAGTTCAGAGGCGAGGTTGAGAAGGTAAAAAAGTAAACAGACTATGTACCAAAATAAACTCCGAATTGAGAATTAAAGCTGTTTTGAATAAATTTCGATGTATTGAATGAGAAAAAATATGCTTTTCAAAGTTTAGTTCAGTCTTGATTTGCTTAAGCCTTTATTTTGTATAACCTTGCTGAGTATATAATAATTTTGGTCAGAATTTAGTAACGAAGTGAGGGGGACATTTCCGATGTATATACATAAATTCTTGATATAGCCAATTCCGTCTGATTCAATACTGTCTGTAAGGTCAGTTTCAAAACTAGAAACTTTCGGAATTGAATTTTTTATATGTTATTGCCGAAGATAGCTTCTGTTCTTGAGTGTTTTAATTTAACCAAAATAGGAAGCACAGGCAAAAGAATGACTCTTTTGTGCAGCCGAGTTGCTTGAGTTAGAGTTGATTTAGATTTTCGCTTCTTTTATGACTATATTCTAGACAATCGATTCAAAATTCAACATATAACGTATGCCATTCCAACATATGACCATTATTTCCCTGGGTTTTGATTTACAAACCGAAACTCGATTGGATTTGTTCGGAAAATGACATCATGAGTTTTTGCGAAAATTAACCAAAAATAAATTTATTAGCTGTGAGCCCCAGTCGATTGTTAATTATATATAAAAATATTTAATGCTGAAAAATAGGTTTGGTTTGGGGAAAACTTGTGTTTTTGTATACTTACTAAGAACACCACTATTTATTTTATTCTATAAGCTTACATTTTATTGAAGGCATTCTAAATTTTATTGTTTAAATAAGAAGTTCATGAGGATAATATAGATAAAAACTCCATGTGGCGTGATTACTAAATAAATTCGGAAGCCCTTCGCCTATATGTTGTTCAGATAAAAGCTTATTTGATTTTGTTAATAATTAAATAATGGCGATGACATTTTGGATAACCGACTGTGCAATGTTAATACCTAATTAGCTCGGTAGTGCCGTCCCTTGGCACTCGCTATATAAGGTGGGTTTAAAAACTTTTGGGCTAGCAAAATGATCCGAGTATTTCTGATTCTCGCTGTGATCGTAACCAGCACTTGGGCCACAGACTACCTCCTGCTGCCCGAGGATGCAGACTTGTATGTGCCGTGCACCGATGGACCTCCCGGATCGGTTAACCTCCCCGAAGCCTTCGACATGAGGAATATAAAGATCGATCAGGATGGCGAAGACATCCATTTAACGGGGAACTGCACGTCCGTGTGGAGCGTACCACCCACAGATCGCATTGACGTATATTAGCACCATTTAAAAATACTGCAGACCACTAAAATCAATTACATTTGCAGGCCAGGATTACTGTGATGCGCTTTGACCGCGGTACGTGGCAACCCACAGTGCTCAATATTCACACATCGAATCTCTGCTCCGTGATGTTCGATAAGAATCAATATTGGTATAAATTCTGGTTCAAGTCCTTTAGCAACCGCGAGGAGATGAGGGAGAAGTGCATTGGAACGAAGGGGGTGAGTTTTGTCAACTTTTTAAGGTAAATCCTCCACTAAAAAAATTCTAATTTCAGACCGTTCTGACATACAACAATTTTACTGTGAAGCCGCGTCTGAATAACGTAATTGGCCCTACTCTCCACGGTCGCTATAAGGCGGTAATTACCTTTGAACCGTTCGACGAAAATAACATAAAACGACCGCTTTCTGTGTGCTTCGAGGTCAGGGGCTATATTGAGAAAATAAAATAGTTAAGAATTTGTAAAAACTAATCATTTCTGTAATATAAATTACAAATCACTAAATAATTTGTGTACCCTTGCAGAGGGTATTTTAATTGTAGTCTTACGTTTGTAACGCTGTGAAGGAGACATCTGCGACCGTTTGTCTGATTCTATGTAAACTAGTGCACATATATGAGCATTTTATGTATCATCTGCGGTATTTTTACTAAATCGGTATTTTCGAAAATATAAAATTTAATTAGGAATAACTGCTTTTCAAGCTTTAAAAATTCATATAAAATTGATTCTATCGGATATTTAGGATTAATCTTTGCGCCAATAGAATTGCAAATGGCGCCAAATGTTAGGCACATATTTCTTTTGAATATTAAACAAAGTAACGGAAATTCAAAAGCCGGAAGTCACAAAAATGTATTCCAACCTAACTGGAATTTTTATGGATGAACGGATCGATTGCAACCAAATGTAGTCTTCGGGTACTTCCAGGATTGGGAACGCGACATTCGTACGTCTTTCCCGCTCATAAAATTTCCGTGTATTATAAACACATCTAACCTGTCTAGGGTCTAAATCGTTCCCTTTGCTCATTACACACATGCAATACATGAAATCACTTTATTTATATAACAATTAAGCCACAGATCTTGCGATGACATTTAGGATTACAACAGGTGAACTGTTAATCCGTAATTACCTTCAATTAGGTTGAATCAATAATCTGTTGGCACACCAAAATGTTTCGAACTCTGATCGAAGATCAAAACTGGTTCAAATATTAGTTTAAAAATGTTTGGAACCGCGATGAGGTTAAAGAAAAATGCAGAAAAATAAAAATTTAGAAAATCTTCTAATGTAGACCATGCTATAAGCATTCAACGAAAGAAATGTCTGGTGACAGATATCCTTATATCCTTTGAGATTAAGGACGAGCTTGAGAAGATAAAGAAGAAATTACCTCGACTCTGCAAATGTATTTTTATTTAATAATTTTCAACTTTTGTTTTATTATATATTATCTTAGCCAATATATAAATTTGTACAATTAATGTAATGTAATAATGGACCAAAAATAATCTTGGTTCATGTATGACAATAAGATTTGGTATGACATCTGGAATTAGTTTCGTCTGTTGCAGTTATATAAACTTTATTATGTTTTAATATTAAAAAAACGCTGTAGGACAGACAATCTTGATGCACGCAGAGAGTGTTTTGGAATAACACCCTTGGATTACGGGCAGTGTAATGTAAAATTGATGGTAAATTCATTTCCTGTTCTGAATTTGTTTTGGGGCACTGGGTATACAGTTTCGATTTTAAAATCGTAATAAGTGACTGATGTCTATATCGAATTCGGAAACATTTTCATTCAACACAATCAGTCGTAGGAAACACAACTAAAAATCGGAGAAGACAAAATGGAAAGAAGGCATCATAATAAAACGGACAAGGTAGTGGTAAAGAAGTACCCACTGGCTGAGTACAAGGAGAAGATCAACAGCCTGTTCCCACTGCCAGCGAGGCCGGCGGATATGTGTCACGATGCGTTCCTGAAGAAGCTCCTGGAGCCATATGTCCTCGAGACCAAGAAGGAAGTGCGTGCCGTCAGGATGTCGGACATCTCCAGCAGCGGCCTCGAGGAGGATCCGGACGAGGCCTTCCGGGCGAGGATGTACAAGACTGACTACACAGCTCGGGCCAGCGTGTGGATGTCGAGGGTCACCAGGATTAGCGCTCCCAAGTCGATCCTCAGTACCGACCAACGCGATTCGGCCGCCCTGACGACCCAGATGTTCAAGGTGCGCTTTGCCAACCTGATATCCGACTTCCGGAACGTGTGCATCATCTATCAGCTGCTGCAGCTGCAGGAGATCCTCAATGTGATGCGGGAGTATCCGCCGGCCGGCACCAATCCCAATGACACCATCTTCGGTTGGTCCTACAAACAGAATCTAAAGCGGTTCGAACAGCAAACGAACACCGTCTATGTGGACATTCTGGAGAAGAACAAGTCGGAGGCCACGCTCGACGACCTCAAGTTCTATGTGGATCTTGGGGAACTAATCGGTCTGGTGCAGGCCCTTCTGGACGATGTCGTCCACGATAGAGATCTCTGCGCCTCGCGTGGCTTCATGGAACTCCTCAAGTATGTAGACACTCTATAATACATAAAAACAATATTTAAGGAAATGTCACAAGAATGCATAGTTGCATTATATTAATTGATTTTCTTCCTACGCAGTTCTTAAATATTCGAATTTATCTTATTAAATGTAGCTACCAAATAAGTTTGCTTATACCTAAAACGTTAAGCACCAACTTTTAGCTACATATATGATTACCTTATATCTTTAATAAAGATTTCTTACCTTATTTCCGTAATATTTTCCTTTAGAGATACCCAGGTGGACATAGACAAGCTGATTGCCGTGCCCTACGAGACAATAATGGCCGAACACGACTCTTTAGTTGAGGAGGATGCAAAGAAGAACCGGGTTGGAAAATTCCACAATCCTAAATTGGTGGCCAAACAGCATGCCCTTAACAAGGAGCGATTCCAGATCGATTGTAAGTTTAACCAAGCCAAAGGAAACCCCATTGAACATTTTGCAGCCTAATTACTATTTATACTTTCTATTTGCTGCACAGATATGAGTCCCATAGAAACCCGATACAAAGTGAATTGGACACACGATAATGTGGAGCAGGGACAATATATTGATTTCCTTCGCTGCAAGGTTCGAGAAATAAATACACAAATAATAAAAGACCTGGACCAGTATTATAAACTGATATATTCCTTACCTGAAATTTATCATTTAGGTACTTTCCGATGAGTTGGACAAAATTGAGGAGCTCACCCGCAAGGATTCGCATGTGTGGAGAAGCTGCCATTTGGAGTATGTGACTCTGATCGAGCAGTACAAGAATCGCATTAATTCGGTCCAGAAGGCCTACGACGACGATATGGAAACAGCCGAGAACATGCTACAGGCCACCATCAACAAGGTGAGCAAGTGCAAGGAGGACCTAAGATCGTACAAGGAAAGAGTGGAGATTTTCCACCAGAAAATTCAAGAAGTGCGGGATAAGATGGCAAAGGAAGCGGAAAAAGAACGTGCCCGTTTGTCAGCGGTGAGTGATACAAAATATAGTATATACATAGGTGAAATAGGTATTCGTATAAATATATCCATCTTTATAGGCTCGAGTTTCAAAGAGATTGTCCAGGATATTGGCTAAACAAAAGGAAGAGAAAAGGCTGCCGCCAAACAGGCCAAGTTAGAAAAACGGCTGGCAAGGCGAAATAAAAGTGAAGTCGTCGTTTCACCTCCAACAAATTAAAGATCGTATAGCTTAACTTTAAAATTACAATAATGTTTATACGAGACAATTTGGTTTAATAACTTTTTGCCTACAATAAAATTTATTAATTCCAGAAACTAAATTTGTATATAGATATATGTTGTATATAGTTCTGTAATCTGTTTAAATTTCTTTGCTTGACATAAAATAGTTGTTCTATATAGATCAAATATCATTCGCCCAAGTTCTGTCTGTCTCTCTGTCTTACTTTCTAACACATTGCCCTGTTTACAGCATTATCGGTCTCACTAATTTTTAGATATACATACACATAACTACACTAGATACAGCTCGGGCCAGCGTGTGGATGTCGAGGGTCACCAGGATTAGCGCTCCCAAGTCGATCCTCAGTACCGACCAACGCGATTCGGCCGCCCTGACGACCCAGATGTTCAAGGTGCGCTTTGCCAACCTGATATCCGACTTCCGGAACGTGTGCATCATCTATCAGCTGCTGCAGCTGCAGGAGATCCTCAATGTGATGCGGGAGTATCCGCCGGCCGGCACCAATCCCAATGACACCATCTTCGGTTGGTCCTACAAACAGAATCTAAAGCGGTTCGAACAGCAAACGAACACCGTCTATGTGGACATTCTGGAGAAGAACAAGTCGGAGGCCACGCTCGACGACCTCAAGTTCTATGTGGATCTTGGGGAACTAATCGGTCTGGTGCAGGCCCTTCTGGACGATGTCGTCCACGATAGAGATCTCTGCGCCTCGCGTGGCTTCATGGAACTCCTCAAGTATGTAGACACTCTATAATACATAAAAACAATATTTAAGGAAATGTCACAAGAATGCATAGTTGCATTATATTAATTGATTTTCTTCCTACGCAGTTCTTAAATATTCGAATTTATCTTATTAAATGTAGCTACCAAATAAGTTTGCTTATACCTAAAACGTTAAGCACCAACTTTTAGCTACATATATGATTACCTTATATCTTTAATAAAGATTTCTTACCTTATTTCCGTAATATTTTCCTTTAGAGATACCCAGGTGGACATAGACAAGCTGATTGCCGTGCCCTACGAGACAATAATGGCCGAACACGACTCTTTAGTTGAGGAGGATGCAAAGAAGAACCGGGTTGGAAAATTCCACAATCCTAAATTGGTGGCCAAACAGCATGCCCTTAACAAGGAGCGATTCCAGATCGATTGTAAGTTTAACCAAGCCAAAGGAAACCCCATTGAACATTTTGCAGCCTAATTACTATTTATACTTTCTATTTGCTGCACAGATATGAGTCCCATAGAAACCCGATACAAAGTGAATTGGACACACGATAATGTGGAGCAGGGACAATATATTGATTTCCTTCGCTGCAAGGTTCGAGAAATAAATACACAAATAATAAAAGACCTGGACCAGTATTATAAACTGATATATTCCTTACCTGAAATTTATCATTTAGGTACTTTCCGATGAGTTGGACAAAATTGAGGAGCTCACCCGCAAGGATTCGCATGTGTGGAGAAGCTGCCATTTGGAGTATGTGACTCTGATCGAGCAGTACAAGAATCGCATTAATTCGGTCCAGAAGGCCTACGACGACGATATGGAAACAGCCGAGAACATGCTACAGGCCACCATCAACAAGGTGAGCAAGTGCAAGGAGGACCTAAGATCGTACAAGGAAAGAGTGGAGATTTTCCACCAGAAAATTCAAGAAGTGCGGGATAAGATGGCAAAGGAAGCGGAAAAAGAACGTGCCCGTTTGTCAGCGGTGAGTGATACAAAATATAGTATATACATAGGTGAAATAGGTATTCGTATAAATATATCCATCTTTATAGGCTCGAGTTTCAAAGAGATTGTCCAGGATATTGGCTAAACAAAAGGAAGAGAAAAAGGCTGCCGCCAAACAGGCCAAGTTAGAAAAACGGCTGGCAAGGCGAAATAAAAGTGAAGTCGTCGTTTCACCTCCAACAAATTAAAGATCGTATAGCTTAACTTTAAAATTACAATAATGTTTATACGAGACAATTTGGTTTAATAACTTTTTGCCTACAATAAAATTTATTAATTCCAGAAACTAAATTTGTATATAGATATATGTTGTATATAGTTCTGTAATCTGTTTAAATTTCTTTGCTTGACATAAAATAGTTGTTCTATATAGATCAAATATCATTCGCCCAAGTTCTGTCTGTCTCTCTGTCTTACTTTCTAACACATTGCCCTGTTTACAGCATTATCGGTCTCACTAATTTTTAGATATACATACACATAACTACACTAGATACATTATATTCCATTTTGTTGTTTGATTTTGGAAGAAAAGGGGTCCATTTAGAAACTAAAACTTTATACATGTGGTTTATACACAACGAAATTAGCGCAAGAAAACTTTACTTAGATTAGTAACTAAAACTAACAATCTAAACAAGTAAATGGCTTAGTCTAGGTGTAAACTTTAATTATCATAACCAACTAGTTTTGCATAATATCAAAATGAAAACCGCTCACAAAGTTAACACATAAAACAAATGGGTTTCCATACACACAATTTGGTTAGGTCTGTTACTAAAAACTAAACATTAATCAAGCTGAGGATTAGGATGTGGGATATCCGAGAGGGCTGCTCCTTAATTGTTGGCGTGCGCCGTGCGCAGTTTGGCCCTAACGTTCAGATACTCGGGATTCACGTACTGCCGCTCCTCGGCGTCCTCCTGATCCTGTTTCTGGGCCGCCGCCTCATGCTTCTGGGCCCGCTCCATGATCACACGCCCGAGTTCTCCTTTCAGGCCCGGAATCCCGCCGACGATTTCCGCATCCGGGGAATGTTGCTCGGCGGCAGCATGTCGCTCCTTTTGCTTGTCGTAGGCACGTTGCAGTTCCGATTTTTGGTTCAGCACGCTCTTTCCTCTAAAATAATTGAAAAAACAATTAATAATTGGATCTGATTTTAAGAACAATTTAGTGATAAATTTTATTTAAAATGATTAAAACTAATTTTAAACGAAAGTTCTTTATCAGAAAGGTTTTGTTTGTATTTATTTTTAAAGAAATTTTTAATAAATAGTTTGGCTAATTTTGTACCTATAGTTGAATTTATTTATTTGAATTTATTTTGAATTTGAAATTTAATAGTTTAAAAATAAACTTTCAGAAATTAAAAGAATTACTTCGAACGTCTACATATGTATATATTTAATTCTTTAAATATAGAAATATAAAAGTTTAATAACTATATAAATAGTTAGGTTTCAAAAATTGAATTTGTGGACACAACTACTCACACTCTGGCATTGAACTTGAGCTCCCGATTAAGCTCCTTGCGATCGATGCTCTCCAAGCAGGGATTTATGAGCTTCTTGGGCAGGATCAGTCCATCGGAGTCCGTCTGGACGCCAGTGGGCGTGGCCGGCGGGGAGCTAGTCATGGACATCATCGTTCCGGCCGCGTTCTCAGCCTCCGTCAGACTGTGCCTGAATGCCGTATCTGAAAGATAGATGCAGAGAGTTGAACGATTAGTGAATGGATTCGCATTCTTTCCCACTCGCTGACTACACAGGCAGAAATTATTTCTTATCAATACGTATGAACTAAAATGAACATGATTTTTTTAGGTTTAATATATTGAGTATAGTCTGCAAATTGTGCCTACATTTTAATACAACCAACGACTCAATTAGATCTCCTTATCCAAAACCACCCTCAAATTATTCACTGTTCAGTAAAACTTTTATATAAAAATACCCGTTGCCTTCTCCTTTACTTGCCACAGCTTTTGAAAAAATTGATAATAATATTTTTATCTGTGTACTGCTGGGCGATGTCCCCTCGTTTGACTGTGCCAAAGTTTAATTGGCACTTGGCCTTCCCCTCACAAATCAGTTCGGGCCTTAACCACCCAACAATGCACACAACAACCGCTCAAGAACCCAAGAAAACCAAACAAAAGACGTCTAAAGCTTCGTTGTCTTCGTCGTTTATTAAGGTTAAATATTTCTTCTCATTCATGTCATTGTCAATTTGTTATTACAAAAAAAAAAAAATAAAGCCAGCAACCAACAACAGCTGTAAAACCGTAAAAAAAAAAATTATGAGAGGCAGAGGCACAGAAACTCGATTCAAGTCAGCGGTAAAGTTCTTTCCGACTGTATTCCTCTTGTTCTGCTTCTGCTGTTCTTTTTGTAAATTTTTTACTGAACCGTCACCAGCGATGAACTTCTTTTGTTCACCCATCATATTAACCCACATCGCGGCGAACTAGTTAGTCGCTCGAAGCCCAAAACCTAAACTAGATTAATAGGCGATGATAAGGGACAGAAGGAAAATAAATAAAACACAAAAAAAAAGAAAAGAACCAGCGCTGAAAGGGCAATGACATGGCTAAAACGGCTTCGCAATTGAGATGAAAATCGCAATGGGTTCAGTGGGTAGAATTTTGAATGGGTTTTGCTGACTGGTGCATCAGGGAACTGTGCCAAAAATTACCAATCTAAATGGGATTGAATTTATATAAATCAGTGATAATTAAGCAAATGGGACCATCTTAACAAGTTTGTCAACCATTGAGTCCGATTTGTTTGGGCCACAGCCAAATGTCCATTAATTAAACAAATTGAGTTGGAAGCCAAACTTTCCTGGATAATTTAAAGACAAACAATTTTTACAATTTAAATAAAGACAAGTAAGTAAGGCAATTAACAAATGAAAAGCAAGTTCAAAAACTTAATTATTGAACATCTATTGAACTATTACGTACATATTATTCAGGCTACATAACTTAAATTGCCAAACAAGTTCACACGAGTCTCAACATTTTTTTGTGAGGGTTAACCAACCTTAATTGGCATCTCCGCTCAGAGTTCACGTTCGACAATCAATCAATCAATTTCATCAGAGTCATTTCAGACAATTCCACTGAATTATGGCTGATTCAATGGAAAAACATTCAAGATTTGTCCAACAAACCACCAAATCTCTTGTTTGCCGACTCTAATGGCCATGAAAACACCGGTCTTCAGTCTTCAAACTTTAACATTTTTAAGCCCTCGGGTAAACTTATGACAAAACCAGCTTTATCAGCAGCCACTGCATTATGCTAATCAAGATGTCCCACATGTGGCCCAATCGGAAATCGCATGCAAATCCGTTTTGATTGATTTTTCTTCGATTTCAAATAAAAATTTGCATTCGCCGACTTTGCACTCGTAATTTGCATTTACAATTACAGCAATGTCTGGTCTGCGTTATTCAGATGGTTTTGCTTAGATTGACCCAATGCAACCAATAAAGGAAATGTGGAAAGTTTAGATTTGTCTAGAAGTTTGGCAATACCCATTTCAAAGAAAAATTAAGTTTGGAAGAGATATATTCTGGTTTTCATTTTAAATATGAAATTGAGATCGGAATACCCCAAAAAGTTAGGTTTTAAATCAAATAGAAACTTATCTGAACAGATAAAATAAAAATATTATATATTATACATCGCTACATTAATATCTCCAAGCGCAAGCTAACACCCCCAAAAAACTCGGACGGCAATAAGCCCAAAATAAATCGTTCCAACAAAGGCCCTGTAAATCCCGGGCCATTAGATGAAAACAGATTTTCCATTCTGGCGGAGCCTGAAACAGAGTCTGAACAATTAGCCCCAAGGAAACTAAAGCCCCCACCTATTTTTATTCGGGAGAAGATCTCGAATGCCCTAGTCAACAAAATAGTTGAGCTTGTCGGAAAAGATAACTTTCATGTTATTCCGCTTATGAAAGGGAATATAAGCGAAACTAAACTCCAAACCAAAACCGAAGACGATTTCCGAGCAGTGTCGAAGTACTTAAACGATGCCAAAAAGAATTACTACACGTACCAGCTGAAAAGTTGCAAAGGTTTGCAAGTTGTGCTTAAGGGAATAGAACCCGATGTGACCCCCTGCGAAATTACAGAGGCCTTAAAGAAAACGGTTTTTGCGCAAAAAATGTTATAAACATTATGAACAAAAACAAGAAGCCGCAACCACTCTTCAAGGTCGAGCTGGAGCCAGACAGCAGAACTTTGAAAAAAAACGCAGTGCACCCGATCTACAAGTTGCAGTACCTTCTGCACCGTAGGATCACAGTGGAAGAGCCGCACAAACGGACCGGACCAGTGCAATGCACAAACTGCCAGGAATACGGTCATACCAGGGCTTACTGCACCCTCAGGTCAGTATGTGTAGCTTGTGGAAACTGCCACGGCTCCGAATCCTGCCCTGCCAACAAGGAAGACTCTCTCACTAAAAAGTGTGTAAACTGCCAAGGAAACCACACAGCTAACTACAGAGGCTGTCCAGTCTACAAGGCGATGAAAAGTCGGATGCAACGAGCAACAACGGCACGCTCCCTGAACACACAAAACACTTACATGAGATCACAAACGACACCGGAAGTTTTCTTCGCAAAAGCAGCCAGATCATCATTTGGCCCTTCAATTACCACCAACGGAATTTCTTACGCCAGTGCTCTAAGATCAGGCACAGCTCACATAGAGCCGAAAGTTGATAACATCCAGCAGGCCATGGGACAGCCACAAAGTAACATGGAATCTATGATGATTACTTTGCAACAAAATATGATGGAATTTATGTCCTTCATGAAAACCACTATGCAAACCCTTATGCAAAACCAAAATATCTTACTACAAATGCTTGCAGCTCAGCAGTCCAAATAAACCATGCCTAGCCTTCGAATAACTCTGTGGAACGCCAACGGTGTTTCACGGCATAAACCTGAAATAACTCAATTTCTGAACGAAAACCACATCGACGTTATGTTGCTGGCAGAAACGCATCTCACCAGCAAATATAACTTTCAAATACGGGGATACACGTTCTATGGCACAGATCATCCAGATGGTAAAGCGCATGGCGGCACTGGAATCTTAATAAGAGACCGCGTCAAACACCACTTTCACCAACGGTTTGCTAAAAATTATCTGCAAGCTACATCGATAAAATTACAGTTGGGCAACTGCAACCTTGCCATTGCCGCTGTCTACTGCCCACCTCGCTTTACAGTCTCCGAAGACCAATTCATGGACTTCTACAATTCGCTTGGAGAGCGATTCATAGCAGCAGGAGATTACAACGCCAAGCACACGCACTGGGGATCCCGCCTTGTGACCCCCAAAGGAAGGCAACTATATAATGCACTCATTAAAACATGCAACAAACTGGACTACGTTTCACCAGGCAGCCCTACATACTGGCCTACAGATCCTAGAAAACTACCTGATTTAATTGATTTTGCTGTGACAAAAAACATCTCTCGCAATCTAATATCTGCAAAATCGCTTTTGGATCTATCATCGGACCACTCACCAGTGCTAATAACTCTTCTCCAAAGCCCGGAATTAATCGAGCACCCTCGCAGGCTGACGTCGCATCGAACCAACTGGCTGAAGTTCAAAAAGTACGTAAGTTCCCACATTGAACTAACTCCACAGCTCAACATCAAGGAGGACATCGACTGCTACGCCGATGCCCTGGAGTCTGTACTCGTCGCAGCAGCCAAAGTCTCAACACCGCAAGGGAGGGATGGGCACACACACCAACACAAAACTAACCATGAAATCGAACAGCTTGTTTTGGAGAAAAGACGTTTGAGACGTACTTGGCAAACCAGCAGATCGCCATCCTCAAAAAAAGTCTTAAAGAAGCTGGTCGCAGACTTACCAGGGCTCTAAGGCAAGAAGAAGAAAAAGCACAACGCCAGTACATTGAGAAACTTTCACCCACCAGCACTAAGCATCCCTTGTGGAGGGCCCACCCAAAACTAAGTGCGCCGGCCGAAACAGTAATCCCCATAAGAGACTCTTCAGGCAGCTGGGCCAGAAGCGACAAAGACAGAGCTTGTACATTTGCTTTACACCTTCGAAATGTTTTTCAGCCAAACCCTGCAACTAATTCATTCGCACTACCGTCGCCGTCAATTCGAATTGAATCTGAGACGGAGCCAATTCTGTTTCAACCAAATGAAATTGCAAAAGTAATCAGCGAGCAATTGAAACCAAAAAAGGCCCCAGGCGGTGATCAAATAACTCCCAAAATGTTAATCGAACTTCCAAACTGTGCAGTTGAGGTTATTTGTAAACTCTTCAACGGGATTACACGACTTGGCTATTTCCCAAAAAAATGGAAAAAATCGGTAATCATAATGATCCCAAAGCCAGGGAAAGATCACACAATACCAGCTTCGTATAGACCGATAAGTTTACTCTCGTGTCTGTCAAAACTGCTCGAAAAATGCCTTCTGACGCGCATCATTCCATATCTGAAAGAGCACAACGTTATTCCAGCACATCAATTTGGCTTTCGAGAAAGCCATGGAACAATAGAGCAAGTCAACAGATTAACAACAGAAATAAGGACTGCATTCGAGCTTCGGGAATACTGCAGTGCGGTATTCCTTGACGTTGCACAGGCTTTCGACCGAGTCTGGCTTGATGGCCTTATC